GCTAACAACAAGTTTAAGTTGGTTGCCTACATTTGGCGCAACCTAACGATATAAACTAAATTACCTTAACTTTTTTTATAAAACATATTTTTTATATATAATAGAAACTTACATTCTATATACATGCTATAAATTTCTAATTCATAGTATAAGTTTGCAAAAGAGGTCGACGAAATACTCTAATGAAATGCGTTATGAGCACGTGTACTTGGTTGTATAATAATTTCCAGTCACTTCTAGTCTGTCAAAAAGTAACTAACTTCGTAAAAACATAATTACTAAAATCACTAGACAGTTCGGACTGGCATTAGCGAACCGAGTATAGTAGTAGTAGTAGTAGTAGTAGTAGTTAGTAACGTGGTCGGTACAGGATATCTTTAGGATTCAACGATAAAGCGACATTTCGAAAGCCTTTATTTTCTTTTAGGTAGCGTCTGTGAGAGTCCATGACTCAACTCCGTACAACAGTATATTAAAGGTATAACATCGTAGTAACCTGATTTTTATGGGTACTGATAAATCGTGGCATTTGAATAAATTAGCCATTTTTTGAAATGCAGATCTTGCTTTCTCTACCCTACATTTGATTTCTAGGGAATGGTCCCAATTTTCATTGACGTTGTACCAAGGTAGGTGAATGTTTTTACTCTTTTTGTTAAATTACCGTTCACACTGATTCTTTCAATTTTGCTGTTCCTTCTTAGAGATTATTATACATTTTGTTTGCTTAATGTTTAGTGAAAGTCCATATCTCTGACTCACTTTTGTGATTCTATTCATTAACTTCTGGACGGCTTCATAACTGCCAGCGAATACCACCGTCTAATCCGCGTATATGATATTATTGATACATTCTCAGATAATTCGAATTCTGGTTTCAACATCCTCTATTACTTCTTAAAAGATTTCCTCAGAGTATATGTTAAACAGCAAGGGTGATAGTATAGATCCCTGTCGGACCCCACGTTTGATTTTGATATCAGATTCTTCTGCATCTGTACGGATAGATGATGTTTGATTTCAGTAGACATTGCTAATTTTTCGTAGATCACAGATGTTTATTTCAATATTTGTTTATATATCCATTAGCCTGTCGTGTTTTACGGTATGAAACGCTTTATGGTAATCAATAAAGCATGCATAAATATCGCAATTCACATCTCCATATGAAATAGCACTTGTATGCTAAAGAAAGCCTGAAGAGTGGCTCATTAAGCTGATGATCCGAAAATTATTGCAGGACGCATATTTTGTTTTCTTTGGTAGAGCAAGAAACGTTGACTTTAGCCATGACCTTTGTAATACCCTGTTTAAATATATGTCATTGAATATTTTTGTTAGTCATTGGGTAATGCCGGTGTTAAATAGGTTTATGAGTTCAGCATATGCATTGTCAGATCCAGAAGCTTTGCCATCTTTTTGTTGTGCTTTTTCCACTGTTTCTGATGTATTTGTTAAGTGGTCATTACATATGTAGGACGGAGATTGTTCTGACCTATTATCATCAAAGAGTTCTTGTGTGTATTTGGATTTATATGTCTTGATTTTTATCTGTGATGATGTTTTCCTATAGATCTTGCAGTTTGCAAGCTGTATTGGATTTATGAAGACCAGCTGCTTATTTTACCTTTTTATGCATATTAAATGTATCGTGTTTTGTTCCAACAACTATATCTCTTTAGACTGTGATTTCAACCAATTTTCTTTGACCTTTCCTATTTCGCTTCTTATTTCTTACTGAATATTTTTGTACAATATTTTGTTATTCTTTAGTTTTTCTTTTCTTCCATAAATTGCAGTATATTGTCATTCGTCCAAATTTTTTATTTTCTTTATTTTCCATTAGATGTTCTTTTTTGATCTTGTTAAAGGAGTTACATATATTGTGGAGTGATTCTTCTGGATCATATGTTTACTCCACGTTACTTAGCTTTTCTGAAAGAATCCGTGCGACTGTCTCCTTTGTTTCCTTATCTTTTATTCTTCTCATATCACATTTTTTGTTACTATGTTTTTTTGTAATCTTTTTAAATCTTTACCAGATTTACCAATATCAGAAATATGATCTGACGATACGTCAGCACCGGGGTAACTTTTAACTGATAGGCATTCATTACGGAAGTTCAACCAAGGGCAGTGGCACAAAAGATTTAATGTCTAATACTGACTCTTTAATGAACCAGATATTGTAAAGTTCATTTAAACACAGGACTTAAATGGACTGTAGAAACACCTGTAGGAAGAAGAGGCAGAGGCCGACCGTGATTTAGCTGGTTAGATGGAGTTGAGACCTGCTTCTTCTAGTTCCATGACCGTTATCGATCGTTGGATATCATGTTGGCTACCATATTCGCTATCGTGACTTTATTGACAGCAGCTCTAAATAACGATGTAGTTGATTTTCCATACCATTGCCTTAGATTTTTCAGCCATGTTGTTTATCGTCTATTAGGACCACGAGTACCTTGGATCTTTCCCTAAATGATCATATGTAAAAGATCATATTTTTCAGGGTGTCTTATAATGTGACCGAAGTATTCCAGCTTGCGTTTCTTTATTATATTGACCAGTTGTGTTGTTTGGCTCAGCCGTCTAAGGACCTCCTCATTTCTAGTTCTGTCGACCCAGCTTATTTTCAGTAGTCGTCTGTATAACCACATCTCAAAGGCTGTCAAGCGTTTAAGCATAGCCTCAGTTAGAGTCCATGCTTCCAGTCAATACGGCAGGACAGGAAAGATGTAGCAAGATGTCATACGAACTCTAAGGTCAATGCTAAGATCGTGACTGCAAAGAAAGTTTCTTATTTTTACAAAGGCAGCTCGGGCTTGTTCTATTCGGCTTTTAATTTCTGCGGTTGGATCCCAGCTCTCATTGATATTACTGCCGAGATACACGAGTTTCTCTACTCTGTCCAGTGTGGCATCTCCGACTTTTATACCGTCATTCTGTATATAATTTTGTTTGCTAACTATCGTATATTTAGTTTTCTTAACGTTGAGTTTTAATCCATACTGATCACAAGTCTGTTTTATTTTGTTCATTACATTTTGAAGGTCTTCTCCACAATTGGCAAGGACTAAGGTATCCTCGGCATATCTAATATGGTTGATATGATCGGTTACTCCATTCACAATAATACCTTCGGTTGTCTCCATTAAGGCTTCCTTAAATATTTCCTTCGAATATAAGTTAAAAAGTAAAGGCGACAGTATACAGCCTTGTGTCACTCCTCTTTTTATATTTATTTCATCCGACAGTTTTTGTTCAACCTTTATTCTTGCCACTTGATGCCAGTATAGATTTGTAATTATTTGTAGATCTTTATCGTCCAATCCAGCTGTTTCCAATATTTCTAGCATTTTGTTATGTCGGACTTTGTCAAAAGTTTTTTCAAAATCGATTGCACAAATGTACACGTTTTGATTTATATCTCTGCATCTCTGTACCAGCACCTATATACTAAACAAGGCTTCTCTTGTACCCAAGCCACTCCTAAACCCAAATTGAGTATGGCTAATTCTGTCCGGTAACAGCGTGTAAATTCTGCTGTGTATTACTCGCAGGAAGATCTTCAAAACGTGACTCATCAGACTTATTGTCCGATAATCACGGCATGTCTTTGGACGATGTTTCTTAGGTATTGTGACAAATGTCGACTTTAACCAATCAGTTGGTAATATCCCAGTGTCATAAATTCTGTTAAAGAGATTACACAGAGCTTTAATTCCATTTTCTCCCAAAAACTTTAGTATTTCAGCACTTACTTCATCGGGGCCAAGTGCTTTTTCATTTTTTGCCGTTTATATTGAACGTCTTACCTCACTTTCTGTTATAGATGGACCTGATATAGCAATCGGTGTATAGTGTTCTACTCTCTCATCTTCAAATAATTCAGAAATGTAGTTTTCCCATTCTTTTAACTTTTCATTGATGTCTAATATTCTGTGTTCGTTTCTGTCTTCTAAACTTTAGGATACTTGTTTCCGTTTGTTTCCAGCGACCCCTTTTAATTTCTTGTGCAGATGAAATGTATCGTGTTTCTTTTCATATTGTTCAATTTCATTACATTCTTTTCTATGAAATTGTGTTTTTTCGTGTCTTATCTTCTGCCTTATTATTGCGTGGATCCTCGTGTATTCGTTTTTATCTTTATTTCTGACTTCTCTTCTTTGATCCATAAGTCTCAGTATTTTTTCTGTCATCGAACCTTGTTTTTTCTTGCTTTTAGCGCACTCAATTTTGTTTCTTGAACAGTCTTTAAGATGTCTTTAGTTCTCGTCCAGTTTTCCTCAGTACTTTCTTCTTTGCTAGATGTTAGCTTCATTTTTGGTTCTAATATACCTACTAATTATTTCTTGTTTTACAGTATCATTTAACATCGTTTCTCTATCAATAGCAACTGTTTGCTTATTCGTCCTTGCAACTCTTTTTAATCTTAGTCTTATTTTTCCTACTAAAAGGAGGAAGGCAGCAGGTCTCCAGATTTTAAGTAGAATAAAGACTAGTCTTAAAACAGGCCAGGATTTTCAAGCGAAATATGATAATGATAATGGCTGATATGATTCAGTGGTCAAAGATTTTTTAACCGTGAAGAACTGATGTCGGTAAGTAATGGCTATTTTGAGAAACAAGATAGTAAGTTATTACAAAAAAGTATTAAACATCGCTGATAAAACTATATAGAGCTAATAAGAGATTATGTTTATGTATATCTGGGACTACGCACTATTTGATAAGAAGCTGGTGAATTAATACGGACGACTGCAATAATGTTCTTTGCTTTTTATTAATTTTTTTCTATGGATCTTAAGTTTTTAACCAATATATACTTCAGATAATAATTTGGCATAACTTCATACCTTCTGGATCTAAAGAGATACGATAAATGTTGGTTTGATTCATATAAAAGAGATGTTACCGTGGTCTACATATAGTTTGATTTCTGGATCTTTAATAATAAAGGTATTCAATATATAATTATTCTTTTTAAATAAGGATCATCGTATTAAAAACGCTTTATTTATTTTGTAAATATTCTATAACACTATAAAACTCGTCATTAGGGCATTGGCACTACCTCTGGGCAGCAAACTCCGGCATATCTGCAAATAAAAATAACATAGTATTAGATAAAGAAATAATATTTTTGGATTATTAATAACATTGCTTTAGCAAGCTGCTTTAACCTTAGTTTCTAATGTTCTAATCAGTCAAAAAAAGGTCAAAAAGTTCTTCTGTCCTCAGATGTCAAAAACTGAAACATATTTAAATAGTTTTTATATCTCCGAACAATACGTCGTCTCATTGCTACCCACTGGATTTTTAAATAGTATGTTAAAAGTTTTTAATAACAAGGTTTTTGGCTTTAAAAAAAAATGACATTCCACTCAGTCAGTTAACCAGTTTCTTGAAAACTATGCCAGGAAATTTAAATTTGGAAATATACCATCCAATCAATGCGGATATCTTAAAAGACAACCCAAGTTTTGATTTGCGGAAAATAATTCAAGATTGTACAAACAAAGCAAGAAAATCTAACCGTACTGCAGATAAAGACTGTAAAATCAAGATAAAGAAATTTTGCGTTTATTTTTAACAAAGATTACTAAAGATTGTGAACAACTAACAGACATTTATAATTTTAATACAGATTTTTAATAACGGTGATGCGGCTGTTAATATTTCTCACATTTTAATGAAATATGAGCATAAGGTCACAAAAACAACAAAAAAAAAATAAAGTAAACTTCCATTGAACAATTTTTCACAAAGCATATAATTATTATTATACTACTGTAAGAAAATATCATGATTGCTGTGAGTATATACTTATAGAAGGTATATATACAGATGATGAAATATATTTGGACGAAATTGGAGTTGAATCTGACCATGCTCCCAGCTCCTATACATCAGTCTTTCAGGCCTAGATCTTTGCGATCCTAGTATGTGCTTAGGAAATAATAGATAGGGTTTACTTAAGCAGGACCCCTTCTATCTGCTCTGATAATCAAGTAGCGCTAAGGGCTTTAGAAGCTCCCAAAGTCAGCTCTAAGCTGGTTCTTGGGAGCTAGAGAACACGGTTTAACGTTGAGCTGGCCAATAATGTTAACTTGGTATGGTTATCGGAACACAGGCGTGAAAAGAAACAGACGAACTGATGCTTTGGTAAAAAAAGCTCATCCACTCTGCCGGTGAGACCCGAACCTATGATTAAAGTGCCTGTCAGTACTGGTCAGGGTTGGAGTTTCGGGACTCCTGGGCCAGTTGTGGCGGTATAAGGCAGGCTAGTCTCTACATAGTGAATCCATATGAAAATTATATACTCCAGCTGCTCCTTCTAGATCGTACAAGATAGTCTCTGGTGGTCAGTATGCTTACTATGCATACTATAGACTCGGCGGATTCTATAGTAAGCATATCTATATATATATATATATATATATATATATATAATATATATATATATATATATATATATATATATTTCTTCTTAATAAATCTACAGAGAGTGCTTCTATTTCATTATTTAATTATATCCACGCTGCTTTGGATCGAAAAAGGTATGTGGGTGCACTCTTTTTTGACTTTACTAAGGCTTTTGACTCTATTGACATTGAAATTATACTGCATAAATTAGAAGCCCTTGGTTTTCGGGGTTATTTCTTGAACTGGTTAAGGTCATACTTACAACATCGTAAATTCCTAGTAAAAGTCGATAATAAGAAGTCATCTGTTTTTAATCTTGATCGTGGTGTACCGCAAGGCTCCGTATTGAAACCCCTAATATTTCTTTTATATGTCAATTATTTGACACATTTTTTAACTGCAGACCATATAGTTCTTTATGCAGATGATTCAACAATTGTAGTTGACGAGTCAAATGAAGTCGAACTCATATCAAAAATGAACTTAGTAGCACAGGAATTTACAACCTGGTGTAAAAGGAACTCTTTAATGGTAAATGCAAAGAAAACTATTTGTATGCAGTTCTACTCGCGCTTTAAGCCATCCCATGGTTATAAAATCACAGTTAGTTATGAGGAAATACCTTTTAGTGATACAAGATTATTTCTTGGTAGCATTTTAGAAAGTAATATGACATGGGATGAAAATGTCACTAAAGTCTGCAAAACAATGAATAAGGGTTACTATGCGATCCTTCAGTTGAAAACTCTATTTAATACAATCAATTGATAAGTGTGTATTATGCATTGGTTTATTCATATACGGCCTATAATGTTAACTTGTGGGGAAACTCTAGAAACTCTTTTAGAGTTTTAGACAATCATGTCGTAAATATTTTATTGAACACAGGCTGTTGACTTTTCATGCTTTATATATTTAAAAGTGTATTATTCACGTCAAAACTAGATTTCAAAATTTTACCCTTTACTCTGACTTTCATAGTTACCCGACAAGACACGGCAGGTTGATAAGCGTGTGTAAACTCTCTTTGAAACTAGTCCTGATTTTGCAGGATCTAAATTTTATAATTGTTTACCACTTAATATAAGAAATGAAAACAATATTAAAAAATTTAAAAATATATTAAAAGCATGCTTGATCCAATTATGCGTTTACAACCTAAATGAATATTTTGACTTAATAAAAGACTACAGAGAATAAGGACCGACGGGTTCAGAGACGCTCTATATTGCATATCTTTGTTTTTATTTTTATATTAATCTATATTTTATTGATTTTGTTTTATGTAATTGTCCTATATAACTTGTTGATCATGCTTTATGTACTATATGACTTGTCCTATATCACAATGTGATCTGATGGGATTAATAAAGAATATTCTATTCTATTCTATAGTATCTCTTCATCTGGACGGATTTCGGTGCCGTCTTTGTAATGAGGAGGAGGAAACTTCCTTACATGTCTTCTGAAAGTACCCGGCACTGCCCTATCAGAGATGGCAGTTTCTGAGTTCGGTATTTATGCAACCGAACCAACTGAGGGAGTTTCCCTTAAAGAGACTTGTGGCTTTCTGTGAGGCTCCAATGTTACTAAACTCATACTACACAATACTAAAGGGCTCATATTTGGAGCTCCTGCTGATTATAGAAGATACGCGAGCCCGGTGCAGTCAGGGCCCCAGAAACGCCGAACACTAAATTACTTAAAAATAGGTATTCACGGACGGTTCGAAATTCCAACGGCCTGACGTCGTGAAGGGTCTATATTTCGCTTTGATAGAATTTCAGAACAACGGTGTACAGTATAGATAAGAGAAATTAAATTATAGAGCGTTAGCCGATAATATGAATTTGTATTTTTTAGTAATAACCGACATAAGCTAATTGTGTTTTAGTGCTAAATAAATTAAAATAATGTTCAAAGACTTTAAATAAAAATAATATATCAGTACAATACTTACTTGTTATCAAGGATGCAAGCAAATTGTTCGTAGGTCAAGAAATCTGTCAGATATGAATGGACATGTGGACAGTTTGACAGTAAACTGCAAGTTCCTTTAAGGACATTCTTATTGGGTGTCTTCGTACATTCTCCGTTAGAAAGGACAAATTGGCCCTCGCCCAAATCATATGCTCCTAGAAATAAAAACTATAAATTAAAGATCTATAAATACTAAGTGCATCACTTTTTTCTTCCCCCGTATTTCTCTATTTACTGTCTCAAAGCAAAGAAGGCATCCTTTTTTCTTCTCCCTAGAATAAATCCAAACTGTTCTTCTTCTATCGATGTATATCTTCTTAATATTCACTCAGGCAGCCCATCTCTAACTGCTCTAACAATAAAGCAGCTCTAAGGTCGTTGAAAGTGCCCAAAGTTAGCTCTAAGCTGGTTCTTAAGTGCAAAAGAGCACTGGCTGATGTTGCAGTGAACATTAGAATTAACTTGGTATGGGTACCAGAACACATAGGCGTGAAAGAGAATGAGCGGGCTGACACCCTGGCAAGATAGGGCTCATCTATTGTGCCGGTGAGACCCGAACCTGTGATTTAAGTACCCTTTAGTAATATACCGGATAGTACCGGATAGAAAAGCTTCTTCTGCGGAGGTTTTAGGTTCCAGTTCTCTTCAAAATTTTCATTGTGTGCGATGTTAATTTTATCTCTCAATAGTCCTGAATGTCCTTTTTGAAGTTATACTTCTATACGCACGGTCGGCGTTGGAAATTTGCATGAGAGTGAATCTGTGAAACCATTACATATGTAAGATAATGAGTAAGAGAGAGACAGAAGATATATTTTCTCTCTCTTCCTCTCTCGAGAATAAAAATGTTCCTTTTGTATATATATATATATATATATATATATATATATATATATATATGTATATATATATATATTATATATATATATATATATATTATATATATATATTATTATATATATATAATATATATTAATATTATTATTTATGTGATATGTTTTGTATTATTTATTAAATGTTCATAATTATTTTAGGCTTATGTATTTCAAAATAATCACTGTATGACCGACTACTGTCAATTTTGAAATCCGTTAGTATTATGTGTCTAATTGGCAAATGTTTTACGTGTTTGGTTCATACGCTGGTGTACGTGAGTTTGAATCCCAAGATGAATTTTCGTTTTTATTTTTGAAATATTTAAAAACCACACGTTAATGTTACTAAATATATGTAATATACGCAGAAATGCTAAACTTTAAAATAAAATGAAAATTTACAACATAATCCGAGTTGTTGGTTTTTTATTTTTATCTTCGTAAAGTAAGTTATGTATATTGGCAGTTTTAAATACTTATGAATGTTGCATTTTAATTTGTATTGTATTATTATTTATTATATTGAATTATGTTGCAGTGTATTGTATCGTAATTTTTATATTAATAACAAAATAAACAATGAATTTTACTGCAGAGTATGTTTAAAAATTTTTTATTACATTCAACTCCTTTTTTACATAAAAATATATATTTTCATTAAAATATTGATACAATCCTTCATTTACTATACTCCTATTACAGGTCAAATGTTTATATACAGCAAACGATGCACATTATACCTATATACCTAATTCCTTTTCTCTTTCTGCTCTTTCTTACCAATAGCAATAAATATGTAATGATTGTGCAGATTCCCATATAAATTTGTAACGGCGAACGCGTGTATAGAAGTATAACTTCTACCCCACTGGGCAGTGTAGTAGTCCCACTGGACTGCCACACCCGTTTTTTATCTTTGTAGAGTGATACCATCATGATCTACTTCCAGTAGATCTTCACTTCAGCATCATTCTGGCTTTACAACCCTACGTATGTCCTAGCCTCCTCAAGAATTTCTCTTCAGTCGCCTTTTTCTCTCTAGTCCTTTTCCATCGATGTTATAAAAAACCTTATTCTAGATCTTCATCTTCTTCTCCATACTCCATACTCCATTGTCATCTACTGTTCCATAAATTTGCCTTAGAACTTTTCTTTCGAAACATCGTAACATGTTTATTATTTTTTGTTAGAGTCCAGGTCTCTGAAGCATATGTTAGGATTGGGCATATTATTGTTCTGTGGAGTTGTATTGTTTTTTGTATATATCGATATAATTGTGAATTTAGGAGGAGATTGAGCTTAAAATAGCATCTGTTGGCCGTGAAAATTCTGTGGTTTATCTCTGCGGTAGTATTTTTTTCAGTGTTAAGAAGCGCTTTAAGGTATACAAATTCGTTCACTGCTTGGATGACGTCGTTTTCTATAACAAGTTTTCTATAACGTTTTGTTGGTGTTTATTATTAAATCCATTTTTCTAGCTGATTATTTTATTACTACATACGCCTCTCGTATAGCGATTTCCGTTCTTGTAACAATATTGATATCATCAGCATAGGCCAGGATTTGCACTGTGTAATATTTATTGGATTTATGTGAAGGTTGGGAAGCAGGAGAGGGGTTAAGGTTACCAAATGTAATGTATTGGGGCTCCGCTGTCACCACTGTACAACTAGCGGGAGTTATATCCCCTATTGTAACATCTGGAACTAGAGGGTGAGAAAATCTTCACCACTGTACAACGCTGTTACTACTGTAATATACTGGTAATGAACCTTAAAGGATGCTTATCCCTGCGAGCGGCTACAAGGAATACTGGTCCCACTAGTCTGGAGGGCTGGCTCGCCTTCGTGGATTTACGAGAAGGTAAGGAACTTTGGAATAGGGGTTAAGGACTTCTAGGTCTTAGATCCTGTAAAGAGTTTAAGTCTATGGGCTTACTTTAGAAGCCGGATAAATGTATAAGCCGAAATTTGGTACTCTTCTGGTCTCTGTCTGAATCGGTCGGAAGGAACATAAAACCAATTTTAGAGTCTACAAATGTATTGAATATTCTATGTGGTTTACAATTAAGTTAACAAACTGTCAGATATAATCAATAATAACTCGTTCGGCGCGAAGGAAGACGAGAAGAGATCGTAGCAAGAAAGTAAAGGAGTGACAATCTGTAATACTATAATTTACTCGGGTTAGTATATAGAATTTTGTTACCTTTCGCGTATTTAGGCTCTAGCTAATGATACGCCCTTCAGTTCCTCCGGAAATCGGATTTCTTTCAGTACCCGACACTTATACGGAACTATACCCCGTCGAAATATAACAATCGCGCGTAATCCGCACCTAGTGATACTCTCGTATTAACCACCCTGCCCGAAGACACCGACTGCCTGCGCGTACGGGACGCTATCGCGTCCGACCCGATGCCGGCAATACTGCCTGAGCGGCCAGTCACGGTGCGCCGCTATTACTGACTGTCAGACTCCTCTGTTTTTCTTGTTTTTATTGAGCTCGTATTTTCAATGCCGGTTATAGTGCCAAGGTCGTGTTTTCGCTGATTTGTAAGTCCTATGCGTTATTTGGGTCACAAGCGGTGTTATTTTTACAACGATAGTTTCTGTTTGACGTGCTTTTTCTACGTTTAAACAATTATCAAACAATGCACTAACTAGGTCAATTTCTTTTTGTAATTTAAAATGTATACTTTACTGTATTAATTATCCCTTATTTGATTTGGAATATATAATAGTCATTAAAATGATTATTATTCTCCCCTATGCTACAAACCTTTATTTTATTCTTTACTTTCTTGTTATGTTTACATTACAACTGATTCATTTAATATTGTGTCAGTGGTTGTGATTAGTGACACACGTATTACTTTTTCTGGAGCCAAATTAAACAGTATATAGGAAATAGAGTCTCTCTGGCGCTACCCCTTATTTGTTTTAAAAGCTTCAGACAGTTCCCCCTGAATTCGTACCCTACATTCAACTTTTTCAAGAGTAAGTTTTGTTAACTTTACCAACTGATTTGGTACTCCTATCTCTTTCATTGCTTTGGACTTCTCTTTTATTGCTCTTTCTCTTCTATTCACAGAGTAGTAGGCTGCTTTGTAGTCTTTAAATATGTGATGAGTATCAATGCCATATTCCAGTGATTTTTTCCAAAATTTGTTTCAAGGTTGCAATCTGATGAATTGTCGATTTACCACCTCTGAAACCAGCTTGGTATTTTCCTACTATCCGTTCTGCGTATAGTGCCATACGATGACATAGTACTGTGGAAAATATTTTATATGCTGCATTTAGAAGCGTAATTCCTCTGTGGTTAGAGCATTTAAAGATATCTTCTTTTTTGTGTATGGTGCAAAGTATTACAATATTCCAATTATTGGGGAGGGATTTCTGTATCCATATTTCTTTTATACGCTGTTTTAATGTAATGCCATTACGATATTATGGCCACCTTCTTTATATAGTTCAGCTGGGAGATTATCTATTCCAGGTTATTTATTTCTGGCTAGTTTTTTTAACTGCGTCTTTAACTTCAAGAAAGGTTGGTAGTGAAAACCCTTCAACATATTAGTAATAAAGGAGTATCAACTGTTTAGAAGTAAAGCTCCACGAACATTAATTCCACGTGCAACATTCTATTGTGTCTTCTGATGACGCTGGGTTTTTCGGCAGTCGTGATAATCAAAAATAAATATTAGTCGAATATTACCCTTAAGTAAGAAATGATAATGACCATATTCAATTTTATTCTGAGATTTGAAAAGTTGTGTAGAGAATAGTGTCAATCTACCCCATTATTAATGTTAAACATGAAGTAAATAAATAATTATTTGTGTTTAAAGTGTTCAATAAATTGTTCATCAATTTAAAACTCGTCTTTTCTCAACTAACCTCACCATATCGTGGGTTTTCTGTGTAGATATGAATATTACCAAAATAGTTGAAATTAGATATTTTATGTCATTCTAAGGAAAATAGTATTTGAATTGATCGCTGTTAAATGGGAATCACATTTAAAAGAAAATCCTTTCCAATTTTTAACAAAAGTCAAAAATTTAGAAAAAAAATGTAACTGAATCAAACTGAAAAAGATTGAAAAATCTGGATTATAAATTGTTCTTCGTCGTATTCCGTATTATTGGTTCATGTTTTTTATTTTTTGTACTCTTCAAATCATTTGTAGAGCGCCGTTTTCAGTTCTTCGAAACATTGTGACTACGTCTCTGTTGATATTGTACCAGTTATGTTTCTCAGACATAAATGTGTCTTACTGGGCCTTAGATTAGACTAAATTATTTAAAATGCCCTGCTGGCCTGCTAAAAGACCAGACTTGGACCCAATGGGACACGTACAAAGTCAAATATAGAGACGACTTAAAACTGGTCATATTCATTCAATATTGTATAAAAGATTCTGGTAGATAACCTAACCTAATATTAAAAAAACTACACAGAAGCAAATTGAACGATATTAGGTAGTTTCTAAGTATTATCTATTTTTATATGTCAACTTACCTCCTAAAATACTTAAAGTTCCATTTTGATTGATGATATTTTTCAACCAGGGAAGTAGATCTTTTATTGCAGGTTTTACGGTAGTTGTTGGAGGTGTAGATGTAGGGTTTCCAATTATTCCTATAAAACATCTTAATATAAATTATGTACATCTTTTGTTAAAAAAAATTAATAGAAGACCAAAAAGTTTATAAAAAAAGGTTTTATTAAAAATACGATATTTTTCTGTCCCTCTTCAATCGAAGTTTGGATTTCATGAAAGCTATAACTTTATTAATAAATGTTTTAAAAATAATTTTTTACTTAAATCTTTCATAAATTTCTCGTCCACGACATTTTTCTGTGTCTTAGATTTCTTCGCCCTTTAATATTTTCCTGTAATACAGTTTGTAAAAAGTGTATATTTTGTCCCCGCGTTATATGGCCCAAGTATTTCAATTTTAAAAAAACACAGAAGTTAAAACACTTCACAATTGTGTATTTTGGTATAAAATCATTATACCAAAATACACAATTGTGAAGTGTTTTAACTACTGTGTTTTTTTAAACGATGGTATACAGCCAATTACGGGGTTTTTCCCATTAATTTTGTATTTAAATTTTCTTCTTTTTATGCATATAGTAAATGTTATTTTGAAAGTTTGCTACTGCGCTAACCTAACTGGGTTTAGACTGACATTTCCTCCCAAGGACCATGCTACTTTTTTACTTTAATTCAATCTTCAACGTGCTTACCATTGAGATAGGTCGCGGTTGCGGCTTTCATAATGACGGTCAGCAAATGTACTCACTCGATTGAAACATGAACGCTTTGTGTTTACATTAACAAATAAAAATTATTTACAATAAAAGTTCTCACTTATTTTTTATGAATTGTTTTACCACTGTCACATTCACATTGATCAAATTTCAGTTCGAATGCATGTAAACCAATTTGCCTTGAGTTTATTGAAAACGTTATGAAACGTTATGAAAATGTTTTAAGATTGTGGTCCTCTTGCCTTACATACTTACACGCCTACACAAAGATGATCTTAACATTCTTATCTGTACAAAGAGCCGGATAACCAGATCACTAAACAGTTCCTTTATTTTTATGAAAATGTACCTAGCAATTTTAATACGTCTTTTGATCTCGATATTTTAATCTCTTGTCCCATTTATAACAGTTCCTAAATATTTGTAATAATTTGAATGTTAGGTAACAGCATAGCTATTCTAGCTTCTTTGACTGCTGCTATAATAAGTTATCATAGTCACTTATAGTCGTTAAGTTGTACTAATCTCGAAATTTGTGCAACCTTATCGAGCAGAATGATTTGATGCAGTCTGCAGTTATGTTCGTTGTGCATTACAGGGCCCATATCTTCTATTTATTCTCTGCTTTATTTATATTCTCTAGTTATAGTTGAAGCTCCTACGATGTTCTTGCCATGAACACAGTATCGTCTGCATATCTAATTTTATTTATCATTTTACATGTAAAAATACTTAGAACGAGCAGAGCTTTTTGCAGTGCTTAGCCCTTTTCTGAATATCAAAAGTATCTCGCTAATATTAAGTTTTATCGTTCTACTAAAATTAAGATCTTCGATTTCGGGTAAGACGTACGGGCAATGTCGTAAAGAACTGGGTGATAAAGCCATCATTCTGAAAATTAAACGAAAAAGACAAGGGATGGAACTTCAATGTGCAGGGGCACAGCTAACATCAAAGAAATGCGTCAAATATCTAGGACTGATACCCTGATCTGGGCTACACCAATATGACTGAAGAAGAAAACATAAGTGCGGCTGCACTAGGGGAGGTGGGGCGATAGGGATACCGACCTACAAGGGGTTCATGAAGTGGTTGCGTTCCTCAGCATGTATTAGCAGTAGAAAGTAGACATCTTTACGAGAGAAAACAGCATTTGAAAACAGCCGTAAAAAACAAGAAAGTTAAAGCTCAATGAAAAGATTACAAGAAGAATGGAACAACACAAACTAAGCTATGCGTTTGCAGGACCTACATACTCTAGAGGATATACTTCTCTATCCTGCATCCAACACACTGCAGCCATCCCTGGGGTTTGGTTAACCTGGTGCGGATTTTAAAAATTTACTTGCTCAGAAAAGAAAAAATCTCTGTTAACACGATTGTAAATGATTTTTAGAAACATATTAAGCAAACAACTCGTTAACGTGATATTTATTTAATTTAACATTAGGAGCAAATATGTTTAACATAAAATACGTCTGTTTAGTTACAAAATTATTTTGTTAAGTAAAATACATTTTTGTAATTTTTGTTCGTTAATACAAGAGAGTATATGACGTCACTTATTACGGACTAGGCTTTGGAGCTTGACATGAAACTGGAGATAATATGCTGAAATTTGAACCAGCAAATATGGGGATAAGTTGACATTTCCTCGGTTGAAAGAATGTGTTATGAAACAAAAAAGTACAAAAAATCACTTGCAAGATCAATATTTCATGACAAGTTAGCTAGTAATCCAACAACATAAAGTTGCTTGTGCTGGATATCGAAGTAAAAAGAAAAATCTAGATTAAAGTATTAAAGAAGATCACAAAAAATCAAATGGTGGATGCTAAAAGATAAGAAATAAGTTTGTTAAGGGAACATGTAGTAAAAAACATAAGCTAAAAAAAGAATGTAAGTCCTTATACAATTTTAAGAAATATGGCTACATACCTGTGTCTCCCCATGTGGGCCTCCATGCATGATTTGGTCCTCCAGATCCTGTAATGATGTAAAAGTATTTTAATGATTTTATAATTAAGTTATTAATAACCAATTACAACAAATAGTAGATTAAGTCAGAGGGAACATGATAATATTGGGAGATTTTTTAACTATTTAATAGGCAATCTAGTAATACTGGAATTAAGCAAAAATATAATGAGAATGTTGAAAACCAAAATGGAGGACTGATGTTAGACTTCTGCATGCATAACGAACTTATAATAAACAATACATTTTTTGATCATCCAGACCAAGACAAATATGAACTTAATAACACCCGTGGACAAAGATCTATGACAGATTATGTTATAATCAACAGAGGTATACAATGTTTAAAAATAATTGATGTATGATGCCTCAACTCAGCAGATGTTGAGAGAGAGAGAGAGAGAAAGAACGAAAGAAAGAGAGAAAGAGAGCGGCGCCAACACAAACAAAAATTAGAGTCAAAGGACTAAATATGGAATCCACTAAATATTTATACAATAAAAGAATATTAAAGAAGATTTTTGGGAATACAATATTAGAAAACGATAACATCAAGGAAAGCTAAAAAAAACTCAAGAATAATATAATTAACGCAGCAACAGATTCACTTGGAGAAAGGAACGTAAGTAACATTAACATATCAAAAAAGAAAACTTTGAATAAAAGGAGAGCATAACAGAACAGACACAACAGCCTTACAACCACTATAAACTAATTAGAAATGAAACGAATGCTGGAACAGATGGAACACGACTTCTACAGAACACAAAATGAAATATAAAGAATGATTAGAGGACCAAGAAAAGATATGAACAAACTAATAACGACGCAATACACTCTCTCAGAGTGAAGATGATTTACAACGTATATGGCAAGTGATGCAGTGATGCTGTGTATATGGCAAGTGATGCAAGGCATCACATTATCTAGATTCGGAAAGATTAAAACAGGAGAGGAAGAATAAGTGAATAGAGCAAATAGAGGCGCAGTTTTCCTGATTGAAACAGTATGGAGAAAAAAAATATCGGGATAAAAATAAAAGACAGAATTTACAAAACAGCTATCAGACCAACAGAGACATACTTGGCAGAAACACGACCTGACTCAGAAATGACAAAAAGGTGTTTGGAAACAGCAGAGATGAAAACACATGAAAAATTGGTAGTAAAACACTATGAGACAGAATAAATGACGGTTGCGTTTCGATTTAATTTGAGTCTTTTACCACTCCCTGAAACGTGTTTCTGGGTCTACCCGTCATCAGAAGAAGTTTGTAAGAAGACTCAAAGCAAATCAAAACGCACCGACTACTAAGGCAATTATAGTAAAAATAATTACCAGAGTATGCTACTAGAGGCCTCTAGTAAGGAAACATGAAATTAAATATCGATAGCAATTAAAGTAAACTGTATAACCCAAGCTTAATCAAGCCATTCAGAGCGATGCTGAGAATAATAAAAGTCCACCTTGCATCAACAATTTACCCATATAAATTACTATCATTTTTGTACTCATTGCATCGAGTAAGGACAATAACAAAATAAATGACGATTGCGTTTCGATTTAATTTGAGTCTTTTACCACTCCCTGACACGTGTTTCTGGTTCTACCCGTCATCAGAAGGAGTTTGTAAGAAGACTACAACCAAATCAAAACACACCGACTACTAAGGCAATTATAGTAAAAATAATTACCAGAGTATGCTACTAGAGGCCCCTAGTGAGGAAACATGAAGTTAAATATCGATAGCAATTAAAGTAAGCTGTATAACCCAAGCTTAATCAAGCCATTCAGAGCGATGCTGAGAATATTAAAATTCCACTATGCATCAACAATTTACCCATATAAACTACTATCATTTTTGTACTCATTGCGTCGAGTAAGGACAATAACAAAATAAATGACGGTTGCGGTTCGATTTAATGAGACAGAGCTATTGTAGAAGTACAGATATACGACGTAGAGGCAAGGTGGAGAATATTAAGGACTAGGTAAGAAATAGAAGGGGAGAATGTAACTGTTATATAAGCCGAATGACAAGAAATATTGTAGTAAAGATGACAAGTAAAGGTTTCCCAATAGGAATACGATAATAGAAATAAGATAAGATAATGTACTTACGAACTAAGAATCTGCCATTTATATTAGGACTAAAGGCAGCTGCTTTAGCAAAGCTGCCGTAACTTCCTCTTTGACCTAAAATTGTGCATGTTACTTTTCTGTTACAGGGTGTTTGAATGTTTAATAAATTTTACTAAAAAAACATAAACTCTTAAAGAGTTGAAATAATAAAATACAGCAAGTTTAAAATGTAAAATCTTAGTAAATTTGAGTTGATATTGCAAACCGAAATATATAGACGATGCTCGACAGTAAAAAAACCACTTTTCAATTTTTCATATCGTAAATAGATGAAATATATTTTGTGTCAGCTGTATTTTGTCTTATTTATATTTGCTTGCACGCTTTTTGTCTTCTTTAAAGGATAGACTTACCTGATAGTCCAAGAGGCACGTATGCTGAGGCTCCATACCTTGGCTGAGGATCTAGAATTAAACAGTTTGTGATGTCATTACAAGTGAAATAGAATGATTTCAACTAAAATTATAATTTGTTATAGTCACAGTGAAAACATAGTGCAGAAACAAGTTTAGGATAAGTCTTTACATTTTGTTTTTTCTTTTATTAATTGGATAAATAGTACCTAAGACCTATCTTTGCTAAGACTTATTAGTGACTTGTAAACTGTGCGGTAGTAAAGTGATTCAGATGAATGATGCTACAATGATACCGACAAAGACCCTGAAGAAAGAATCGAAAGCTCGGCATAGCAACATTTTCTGTGGTCAATCTAAGAAAATAAGTATGTTTAATATAAATTTCGTTAGAAATTTATTATTCTCAGTTATAATATCAATTACGCCCCTGGCAAGAAGGCGTAATTTAAAAGGATTAAGTCTTCTAAGCCTAAATAGTACAAATCTAAATGTGAAGATGAAAGTACTTTGATGTAATACTAACTTAGGGTTTACTGGTTAATATATATGTATATTGTTCTGAAGCTATTTTCTTGTGGCATTGTAAATTAATTACTATTTATAACTGGGAATAAGCCACATTAAAGATAAAAATACATTTATTGACGTTTCAATTTCCAATTCGGAAATCGTTCTCAAAATACAAACAGTAATAAGGCTTATTCCCAGTTATAAATAGTAATTAATATATGTATATGCATATGAAAGAATGAATAACCAAGAGAGCGATTAATAACATAACATATTATGAATTGATATGATGGTAAAAGGTGTAGCAAGATAAGTTATATACTAGAGAATATTATAAAAAGTATTTATATGAGGGTATTCTTAAGAAATTGGCATAATAATAAGTTTAAAAAGTTTTTATTTTGCAATGTATTTGGTTATTTTTGAATTTTTGATTTTAAATTTGAACAGAAAGTAGACATTTAAAATGATAATTACAGATTTAAAATAGTGTTATTTATTAATTTAAGATGTTTAATTTACATATAAGTTTACATTCTGATCTGAAAAGCCTAAATTTCTATAAAATTCTCGATAGAAGAGTAAAGAATTATCTAGAACATTGAAATAAGATGTCAATAGAAGAAAGTTAACCTAATTTGCGTAGTAGAATATTTGCGTAACATTCAAATATCTATGAAATAGAACAATTCGAATAACCAGAGACAACCAAATCTGCGAGGTAAATAGACGAATCAAGTTGGGATGGGCGGCATATGGAAATATGGAAGGATAAGAGACATTTTTAAAACAAATATCGCAATTCACCTGAAAAGGAAGGCATTTAACCAATGCATATTACCAGTCATGACCTACAGAGCAGAGACCCTAACTTTAACGAAATCTACTGCCGAAAAACTGAGGGTAACGGCGAATGGAGAGATCAATGCTGGGCCTGACCTTAAAGGATCGCATCAGAAATGCGGAGATACGCCGACGAACTGGAGTAGACGATATTATACTGCGAATCAATAAACAAAAGTAGAGGTGCGCTGGACATGTCGCTAGAATGGAACACGGAAGATGAACGAAGAGATTATTGGAGTGGAGACCAAGACCAAGCGAAGTCGAGGCAGACCACCCACCTGATGGACCGACGACCTAAGGAGAATAGAAACAAACTGGATTGCAGCAGCTAGAGATAGAGAGAACTGGAGACGTTTGGAGGAGGCCTATATCCAACAATGGATGTGAAAATGGGGCTGGATGATGATGATGAACATAGTATAGCATTAGTTTTGTTATATTATGGCGTATGGTACTAGTATACTATACTAAGATAAGAAAAAAATATATTTAGAAAGTCAACAAAATTAATGACTTACAATAGTACATTTAAGATACAATACTACATTTAAAATATAATACTACATGTAAGATTACAATAGATGTTTCAAGTCCCTTCCATTGTTATCAATGCACAAGTAATATCTTCGTCTCAAATGCGTCAGATATTGTATTATTATGACCATTTAAATTTTCAATATCCGCGCGAACTTTTGCCGTGATAGTGTTAATATTTGTATTTAAATCAAAATACACTTTTCTTTTAAAAACCCCCATAAAAGCTATTACATGGTGTAAAGTCGGGATTATTTGGTGGCCATGTATTGGTACCCTTATTGCCGATCCACACATTAAATTGATTATTTAAATGTTCTTGAACGGCTACGTCATTATGTGGCGGTGTTCCATTTTGTTGCCATATCATACTATTTAATTGATTTTGTGTATAATTTTGATTTATTAACTCATCCACTTCTGTAATGACTGTGTCCAAATATGATATCCCAGTTAACTTATAATCATAAAACAATGGTCTAACTATTTTGTTTTGAAATATTCTGCACCACACATTTATTGGTTTTTTTTTTCCTGACTTTTTTAGTTGCTTAATTTTTCTTTTTCTATTTCCACGAATCCTTATTTCTTCTATTAAAAATGCCTGAAGTTAAAAATTTTGATTCATCTGTCCATAAAATGTTATAAAAATTATTAGAATCATTGTTCAAATTTGTAAGCATGTCTTGACAAAACTGTAAATTTACTGTTTTCTCTTATGAACATCGGTAAGTTCTTGTACCGGTAATATTTTGTACGGCTTATAGTGGTGCATTTTTAAAACTTTATGTATTGTCGCACGGCTTTTCTCTAATGTATTAGTAGCATTGTTTAGACTAGTTTCAGAATTTTTTAAAATAAAAATGTTATGGATTTAAACTATTATTTTAAGTATTTAATTTTTACCTTCAAAGTAAAGCAAAGTATTAAGATCTTCATCATCATTTTCTCCGATAGTACGTTTCTTCTGTTCAAACATTTTTTCATTTATGACATGACGATCATTATATAAAAATGTATTTGCAGGAGTCTGTCGATCTGAATAAATCAGCTTACATTCTCTTTTTGCCCCTTGCTTGTTTTTATTATTATTTACATAAATTGAGAATATATCTACTTTTTCATCTGCAGTATAACCCATTTCGGTATGAGGACTGACAGTTTATAATAAATTGATAACTGTTTCATTTTGAAATGTCAGTTGCATAGCCACCTATGGTTACCCTTTTGTAGTACCATATGCCATTATAGAACCAAACTAATGCTACACAATGTTATATATTGGTAATCAGAAAATACAGTGCTACTTAAAACTATAAAAAAATACAGGGTATCCCATTTGAAATATTGGAGATACATTTTATTGCGCACTCCCTGTATATAAAATTTGGTCTGTTGCTGCATTTTTGGTTGGTATAGATAAAATAATACAACTTTTAATTGAAACTTTTGTTTGTATTCCCGAAATTAAGGAAAATAAGTGGGGGTCAAAATATAATGAGAAACCCGGTACGTAACATCTTGTCCACTTCTAGCATTGTACCCCTTTACAGTACAATCTCCAATATAAAAATAATCTTCGGAGTTTTTATATGTTCGAATTTCAATAAGTAGCTATGCTCAAATTTTGGGAAAATATAGTAGATTCATATTGATTTTTATGATTATTTCCCATTTGTTATTAAAGACAAACAAACATCAATGAGGTTATAAATCCATAATTAATTAGGGCTTCTAATTTCTGGACTGTAGGATTAAATTATTTTAAATTATCATACATATCCCTTGAAAATCTGAAATGTTTCACAAACATCTTCCTTGTATAATGTTGTATCTACCTGTCTCTTCTCTCTTAAAGTTTTTAAATATTTTACTAACATTATCACTCCATTGTAGGCAAATTTCTTCTGATTATTTATATCTTAGTTTGACTCAGCATTGCAATGACATTGTCCATTCGAAAAAAAACGACCCTATATATAAATAGAAAATATAAATATAACAAATATGTAACAAGAAATAATAGCGTTTCGATAATTATCTTTAATTTTGATCATTTCGAACATTGTACAGTGTGGAGGTACAATGCTAGAAGTGGACAACAATTTCCATACAATGCTAGCATTGTAACATACTTACCAAAATATGAACGTGGACCAAGAGGTGCTGGAGGTCCTGGCAGACCAGGCATAGCATATGAAACTAAAAATACATAAATAACATTAAGCAATATGTTATACACATGTAACAAGGAAAAAAGTAAGTAGGTAAGGCAGAGATAAAAAATACAGGCAAAGAAATTTGTTACCCCTTTGTAAGGGTTTTGGCACCCTTAGCTACTGGTACTATTGTTTAATTTATACATCGATCACGGACCTACCTGGAACAACTTCGCAGAAATTTGGCTACGTTGACGACTGGGCCATTGCAGAAAGACATAATAACATGGATATTAAAGAAACAATACTAACGAATGACCTTGCCTTTATGGGAGAATACTTTTACAAATAGAGGCTACGGCGTAATGCAACGAAAATGGAATTTTGCTGTTTCCATGTGAATAATGCCCAAACCAAAAAAAACTCTTTGTTCACTTTGAAAATAGACTGCTCACTGATAACTCACAACAAAATATCTTGGAGTAACTTTGGACAGACATGAAGTTTTAAAAGAACACCTACAAAGAACGGCCGCAAAACTGAAAACGCGAAATAATATAGTCCAAAAGCTGTGTCGCATCACATAAGGGTCATCAGCCTCCGTACTCAAATCCTTCGCCCTCGAACTTGTATACTAGGCGGCTTAATATGCTCCCCTGGTATGGCTCAATAGCAAACACACGAAGATTATTGACACCTAATTAAACCCGTCAATGCGAATGATCTCAGGTATAATTAGACCCACACCGAACTATTGGCTTCCTATTCTGAGTAGCATTCCACCGCCAAAACTGCGAAGAAATCATTCTCTCCTTAGAGAATATAAAAAAATCGAGGCTAAACATCAACTACCCATTTACCATAATAAGTCTGATACCTAAATAAACAGACTGCTCTCTAGATATCATCTATTATTAAGAACCAACTCCTTACATTAGTAACATTTTAACCTCACCAATGCTTGGAGAAGACAATGGGAGAGCGACTCACCACAGGAAGCACACCAAATAGCCTGTATCGATCAGAAACTCCCAGGCTTTAAACCAACCCGCAATACATGGACAGCGCTAAACAGAATAAGAACAAGCAGCGGTAGGCGTGCTGACAGCTTATATACATAGGGAAAAGCCCTTACTACTGAGTGTGACCGTGGTGCGCAACGGCAGACTGTCCGTCACATTATTAAAAAATGCTTCTGAAGGCGATTACCTGGAGTTTTCGATGAGTTTCCGATGAATTTCGCACTGAGCTTCGACCGCTACGTGAATGGGTTAAAGATAATTGACAGTTTTTATAAAGGTCCATAGAAAAACAATTCATATGATTAAATGTTAATTAATTTATTTTCTAGTTGGAGATGCGATTTAAGTGTTCCTGCTTTTTATTTTGTCATAAAAATTCAAAGATATTTAATCGTTGCTCTGGTTATGCCCTGTTCAGTACACAACTGGAGAAACGTCAGAATTAGTAATACTTATAGTAACCAGTGATATTCGTGTCTCTGAAAATCCTTCGAAAAACAACATAATTTGTCTAATTGTCAAATTATTTGGTTCAAAAGTTATTCACACATATAAAAATAATATTTGCTAAAATTTACTGTATCATATTTTGAATAGCATTTTACTTCTATTTCTTTTCTAATAAATACCTATTCTTTCTACTTAAGTGTGACGTATTTTCTTACCTGACATCGATTGGTGTGGACTACTGAACGTTCTTGAAAACCCAGCATATTTTGGTTCTATAAAAAATATATAACGATTAATATAAATTATTGTTATTACATTATTAATAATTATATAAGGTGACTAATTTTAACATAGTAATAGGAAACTTGTATTGCAATTGCAATGCATAAATGCACAGAGTATTAGGTGGCACGGTTATACATACGGGAAACCAGTTAACGGAGAAGGCCAAAGAGGAGTCAAGATACATTGGCTGTACCAAGTTAAAAGAGATTTAAAAACACTAGAAATAGAATGCATTCATAAAATGTGAAAACTATCTATATCACAGGACTTATTTATTTTCAAAGTTCTGATAGTTCGATTTTTATTTTTGTTTTTTAACCTTTTTGGAAAAAAATAACTTTTACTCCCACTATTAATAAGTTTCTAACATTCCATGTCTTAACTGTCAATACAATACAATAGTTTTAAATGTAAATACTAACAATATCTTTTGTAAAGAGAGAACTTAAAACAAATTGACTGGCCAGTTGGTTGTCAAAACCAGTGCCAATAAAACACACACACGCACACATTCCCACTACCTTAGCAAATGTGACGTCATCGATATTTTTTTAAATAGAAAGTTCATATTTTTAAATAAAAAAATTATAAGTCCATATTTTTTTAAGTACAACCGTAGCAACCTCATCTCATTCAAACTTCAGTATACAGAGTGTAAAGAAAACCAGTGTTCGTATTTGTTAAAATGTAATTCAAAAGTTATTTAAAGTATAAAATTAATAAAAAAGTCATGTCATATTCAAGACAAACAAATAACATAATTACAACAAATGCCCCAATTAAGCTGCTTGGTTTAATTGAGGCAGGAAGGAAAATTAGGCATCGGAAGAAAAAAATACTCATGGCTTAAAAACATAAGGGATTGGACAAATCTCGATGCCCATGCACTTTTTAGAGCCACACAAGATCGAGAGGAGTATTCCAGAATTGTCGCCAACATCCACTAATTGTATAGGGCACCATAAGAAGAAGAGGTTTAATTGACAGTATCCAAGACGTCCAATGAATTCTTGGGTTATGTTTGACAACATCACTGGTGTAATTTGTGGCATTTTAGTATAAATTCTTTGTTTAAGGTTTACCAAATTGGTAGGTCGCTTTATATATACCTTACTTCTCAAAAAATCCTAATAAAAAAGTCCATTGGATTTAAATCTGGCAACCTAGCAGGCTATTCAATGTGATGACCGCGTCGTCCAATTAAATGATTGGGAAAAGTTGAATTAAGAAAATATCTATCTACTACAGCATAATGTGTAGAAGAAAATACAAATCCCATGCCCATTAAAAGAGGAATGAGACAAGGAGACGTAATATCGCCAAATTTTTTCAACTTAGCCCTAAAAGACGTCTTCAAAACTACAAATTGGTCAATCTATGGCATTAACGTTATTAACAACAAGTTGAACCACCTCAGATTCGCTGACGACATAATGATTATAGCGAGCACATTCGAGGAACTGCAAATTATGTTGGGGGAACTAGCAGCCAGCTCCCAATATGTCGGCCTAAAAATGAATATGAAAAAAAAAACAAAAATAATGACAAACACAGATGACCCCAGACACATAACTATAAACGGCAGTAAGATAGAACAAATCCAGGAATATATCTACCTAGGGCAAATCCTGAGACTTGACAAAGAGAACCAAAGTGCGGAAATTACTAGAAGAGCAAGACTGGTATGGGCAGCATTTGGAAAACTTAATTGGATACTCAGAAGAACCGCAAAATACCCCAATACTTGAGGAGCAAAGTGTTCAACCAATGGATCCTTCCTATCATGACATATGTCAAACCTGGACCCTAACCAAGGCAAACATGAATAAACTAGCCACAACAGAAAGAACAATGAAAAGAGCAATGTTAGGTATACGACTGTCAGATAAAAAGAGGAACGACTGGGTATGATCCAAAACAAAAGTCGAGGACATAACATCAAAAATTGCCAAACTTAAATGGAGCTCCGCGGGCCACACTATTAGACACAAAGACCAACGTTGGAACACTACAATACAACATTGGAGACCTTACGAAAGTAAACGACCAAGAGAAAGACCACAGATGAGATGGGCTGATGCATGGGTGAGTCTGTTTTGCAAGGCAAAACAGACTCACCTCCTCATTTATTCAGAAAATTGTCACAGCTTTAACTCTAAAAATAATTAAGTCATGAGATAATAGACCGTTTCCACACTTTACAAACACACTCTAGAACTGGGCTCATATATTATTATAAAGAGCAGCTTGAAGGCAAGTAATTAATAAGGTTAAAGATTGTCGGGACCTATAAGCAGATGAAACAACCAGTAGACTGATCTACCACGGCGAACAGATCTGAGAGTTTGTCAAAATAGCTACATTTTTTTTATGAAATGCATAGCTTGTACATAAGGAAAATAAATAGCAAAGCGGATAAAGGTAAAGAACAGATAATAAACTGCAAATAAAAACTAGCTATTTGTCTCTGTTATTATAATAAAATGCAAAAACTAATAGACATTGGAGATTATGATCACAAGAACATTTTTATTATAACACAGTTGCTATTATACCGAACTGAAGACGATGATCGATGAGCTTCATACGGAATCCATAAAAAAAGGACTGAAAATGAATCTGAGTAAAACTAAGCTAATGTCGAATAAAGATGATCAACCGACAATAACCATCCAAGGAACAAAAGTGGAACATGTAGAAGAATACATATATCTGGGTCAGAATATCAAGGTAAAAAAGATAACCAAACTACCGAAATAAGCAGACTAGTAAGAATGGGATGGGCCGCATTTGGAAAACTGTTATACATACTGAAAGACAAAAAGATACCCCAAAACCTTCGAACCAAAGTGTTCGATTCTTGTATCCTTCCCGTTCTCACTTACGGAGCTCAAACCTGGACATTCACAAAAAAGAACATGGACAAGATTCGAAAAACTCAGCGAGCCATGAAACGACAGATGCTTGGTATCTCACCAATAGATCGGCAAACGAACGAAGCAATCCAGAACAAACCAAAATAAAGGACGCCGCGAAATAAGCAGCTAAATTAAAATGAAAATGGGCTGGACACAACGAACGTCTCGAAGATGGTAGATGGAACAAAGAAATCGGAAACTGGCGACCGTACGATGCGAAGAGACCAAGAGGAAAACCTCAAATGCGCTGGAGCGACGATATCAAAAGAGTCGCAGGACCAATGTGGAAACGCCTAGCACACAACAGGGATGAATGGCGAGAAATGGGAGAGGCCTTTATTCGACAATTCGGATAGAAAAAGGGCTATAAAAAAAATTATACCGTTTTATTAAAAAAAAATGTTTTGCTATGTCTTTTTATTTAACTGGTTAGATCTTAAAATTCTATTGAAGACTTGTTGAATCCAAAAGTTTCCACATTCATTGAAATATAAAATACATTTTTTTAATGTTAATACACGTAAATTAACTGTACTAAGTTTAAAAAAACTGAATAGTATTTTCTTTTAGTTGTAACACCAAAGACGTGAAAGGATAGAAACTATTAGTGACAGACTTACTTGAAGCATCTTCAGTGTCAACAGCACTGGTTTGATTCGGTTTGACAACTACCAAGGAACTAACATCAGTAACAAAGGAATATTTCAGCGCCAGATCCAGAGCTTCCTTGGTTAACTGTGTCTTATTATCTGCTAACTCTCGTTGCTCCAGTTTTTGCTTGATGGTCAAATAGGCCCACAATCGTTCCAATTCGCCTACTGGAGCTTCCCTTACTGGTGGTAATGAGATGAGACCGTGTCTACTATGACTCTTTACTCTCCAATTCGAGATGTCAAATCCTAGAAATTTATTGTGTAAAAGTCATATGCGGTTGCAATTTTAATAGTTCATATGTTTTTTAAAATCGTACTATAAAAGCTTTTAAACGTGATCAAACCTTTTAAAATAGATATTTATATAATATATAGTGTCCAAAAAGAAAAATTAGGTCTGAATCTGACTAAATCAAACTAATGAATATCAGATATTTTAAAGCACTCTACAGTAATAATAAAGACTACAACCGTGTATTTTAAGACAGCAGTAAATGGTTTAAGAATGTCTCTAGCAAACTTATTCTTTATCATCTTCTCGTAGTACCTACTACAACCCGGGGTGGGTATTGGCCGACTTCACAATTTGCTTCCATCTTGAAGTATTCCAGCTTGCGTTTCTTTATTATATTGACCAGTTGTATTGTTTGGTTCAGATGTCTAATGACCTCCTCATTTCTAACTCTGTCGACCCAGCTTATTTTCAGTAGTGGTCTGTATACCCACATCTCGAAGGCTGTAAAGCGTTTAAGGATAGCCTCAGTTAGAGTCCACGCTTCCACTCCATACAGCAGGACAGGAAAGATGTAGCAAGATGTCATTTGAACTCTAAGGTCAATGCTAAGATCGTGACTGCAAAGTACGTTTCTCATTTTTACAAGGGCATCTCGGGTTTGTTTTATTCGGCTTTTAATTTCTGCGGTTGGATCCCAGCTCTCAGTAATATTACTGCCGAGATACACGAGTTTCTCTACTCTGTCCAGTGTGGCATCTCTGATTTTTGTACCGTCATCCTGTATATAATTTTGTTTGCTGACTATTATATATTTAGTTTTCGTAACGTTGAGTTTTAATCCATACTGTTCACAAGTCTGTTTTATTTTGTTCGTTAGACTTTGAAGGTCTTCTCCGCAATTAGCAAGCACTAAGGTATCGTCGGCATATCTAATATTGTTAACGGTTACTCCATTCACAATAATACCTTCGGTTGTCTCCATTAAGGTTTCCTTAAATATTTTCTCCGAATATAAGTTAAAAAGTAAAGGCGAGAATATACAGCCTTGTCTCACTCTTCTTTTTATATTTATTTCATCCAATAGTTCTTGTTCAAGCTTTATTCTTGCCACTTGATGCCAGTATAGATTTATAATTATTCGTAGATCTTTATCGTCCAATCCAGCTATTTCCAATATTTCTAGCATTTTGTTATGTCTGACTTTGTCAAAAGCCTTTTCAAAATCGATTGCACAAATGTATTCATTTTGATTTATATCTCTGCATCTCTGCACTAGCACCTGTATACTAAACAAGGCTTCTCTTGTATCCAAGCCACTCCTAAACCCAAATTAAGTATTGCTAATTCTGTCCTCTAACAGCGTGTAAATTCTGCTGTCTATTACTCGCAGGAAGATCTTCAAAACGTGACTCATCAGACTTATTGTCCGATAATCACCGCATGTCTTTGGACGATGTTTCCTAGGTATTGTGACAAATGTCGACTTTAACCAATCAGTTGGTAATATCCCAGTATCATAAATTCTGTTAAAGAGATTACACAGAGCTTTAATTCCATTTTCTACCAAAAACTTTAGTATTTCACCACTTACTTCATCGGGACCAAGTGCTTTTCCATTTTTTGCCGTTTGTATTGAACGTGTAACCTCACTTTTTGTTATAGGTGGACCTGATATAGTAATCGGTGTATAGTGTTCTACTTTCTCATTTTCAAATAATTCAGAAATGTAGTTTTCCCATTCTTTTAACTGTTCATTGATGTCTAAATCTGATGTTTCTATTTTTTCTAATATATACTTTTCCTTTGATGGAATTTTATACTCACAAATCTTTGGCATTTTTATGATATCTTCGATCAGCCCCATTCTAGCCTGCATAGTTTTGGATCGTCTTCTCCATATAGTGATTCCACGACTACCGTTTAAGGTATCGTTTACATATAAATATGTAAATGATCTAATAAATGCGATCCCCAAGGACAGTATTCAAACTATACTGGACATCTTAAATGATTTTCACAAACAAATACAATTTTAATAGGATGAGCAAGAAACAAAGTTTTTTTAAGATACCAAGATGATGAGAACATCAGAAAATAAGATCATTTTGGATTGGTATCGGAAACCAACTGATTTCGAAAGAATAATAGATTATTTCTTTCAGCACTTAAAAAGTCAAAAACATAACACTGTTGTTGCTAAGAAGAACATAATTTTGCACATTACCAATCACATTTTTATGCAAAACAATTTAAAACATTCATCATCAGTGGCATTACAGCTAGTTATAAGCCAAAGCCTTCTTCAGAACAATCTTTCATTCGCCCCTGTCTCTGGCAAGTCTTCTACATGCTTTAACTTCGATAAATTTTAGATTCGATAAATTTACCTCCTCTATGTTATCTTGATACCTAAGTTTTGGTCTTCCTTTGGCTCGTCTTCCCACTGGTCCTCTTCGGTCGAAATTTTTTTCTGATTGTTGCATCTTCATCTTGATTAATTACATTATACATGTAAAATTATTATACAACATATTTTTGAGTAATGGCTATCCTATTAAAATTCTGAAAAAACTAATCTACCACTCAGACTTACACGATGGGCAATGTAATCAACACAGACCAGGGCAATAGATCACGTCATTTACAGAAAGTTGCTCTACATAAATGGCTTAATTAACAATAAAAATAAGGTACTGAGTGGAATTCCTAAAATCAAAATATCCAAATATAACATCATATCCAATTATAGCTTATTCTTGAAGCTTAAAAACCAGACATCTCTTCTAAATCAGAGTTATCTCATGTATCAATTTATTTATCTCAAATTAGATTAGCAGTATATAGGACAAACACCGCAGTGGTTACAACAAAGAATAACGTAGCACAAATGTGATCACAAAACAAAAATTCTTGTGCATTAACCATTCCACACAACAGGCCACAGATTTAATATACATAAAAGATTATCCTATCTTACCTTCATCGATTGGATACCTTCCAGTAACTACCAACTCTGATCCTCTAAAGTAAATAGGGAACGTCTTTTTGGACACTTCAGTGACGTCATCAGTGTACTCAAATTCGATGTTTGACAAAAGTGGAGAAGATATTTGCCTGTAAAACTCTTGAAGTTGAATAGCAGCGTCAGCTCCTTCGTAAATGTGTCTAGCGAATCCTAGGTTCTTCAATGATAGTTTTCTTAAGAAGTTTTTGTCTGCGCCGTCTCCAAATGATAGAGAGAAGATTGGTACGTGGTCTTTGTCGCCGTTGATTTTAGTTACCTGAAGCATACAAGCACAAAAATACTAAAATATGTGTTTTTAAATGTGTAGCAGGAAAACTGATAATATAAACTAACAATGGAGTTTTTAGTTGTTTACCTAAGTGTCAAACCTTTGTTAAAAGTATAAACTAGATAAAAATGGAAGTGACATAAATAGTGTAAATAGACAACAACTCAGAAGGGAAGCTTCGTCACATAAAAAAATCTGATAATAATAAAATAATCTAATGAAATTAATATTAAATAGACTAAACATTTCCCTAAAAAGAACTAAAAATATGACTTACAATCTTGGTAATTTCTTCAGTATTAGTAATTCCCATGGTCGGGTCTCCGTCTGTCAAAAAGATAATTAGTGGTTGTCGTTTTGACCCAGCCCTTAGTTCTTTGTGGACTAAATGTAAACCAGTTTCAATACTGCCCAACATGTTGGTTAATCCAGTGTCTTGAAGCTTATCTATTACTGCTTTTCCTTTAGCAATTGCTTCTTTGGTAGCTGGTACGGCGTTTGGCAATTCTAGTTTCTAAAAATTTAACAAATAAAATAAATTTAGTTTATATTTTACACATAACCAAAATATGAAAAAGGAAAAACACATACACTACTATACAAAAGTAGAACACTACTTTAGTCTAATGTACAAGTCACAATAATTTCCCAATAATATGTGCATGATATTTGTATCATTTTTCACATGTGAAAAACTATGTCATATTTTTCGCTGTATTATTTACTATCATTCTTCACTTCAATGTTAAAATCATTACCCTACTCCAACCCTTAGTACAAATGTAGTAGAACAATGTAAAGAGATAGAATAACTAGAAACAAAATATGATATGAGAAATATGCACAAAAAAATAAGAGAAGTGACTGGAATGAGTCGAAATAGACAGCAAGGACACATAAAAGACAAAAAAGAGTACTACTAATAGATTTACCAGAGAAATTAAACCATGTGAGGAGTACGTTAGAGAACTTTTCCAAAATGAAAGAGGTGGAATGCAAAAAATACAAGAATTAAATTATTTAGAGAGAGACAGAAGATCACGAAAGATGAAATTAAATATGCTATCAAAAACTCTAAAGACAATAAGGCGGCTGGATTAGATAAAATACCAGTGAACTGTTAAAACTAGTGAAAGATGATAACTTGAAATTATTGGCAGATTTATTTTGAGGATATTAGCGAGACGCAGTTCGGGTTCCGAAATGAAATGGGTACTCGAGAAGGACTATTTGCCATCAACATATTGATTCAGCGATGTCGAAATGTAAACGTTGATCTACACTTGTGCTCCGTTGACTACGAAAAAGCTTTCGATAAAGTACGACATAAAAAACTCATATCAATACTTATGAACAAGTGCATTGACAGTAAAATCATAAATATAGTGCAAACAACTCACAATATGAAGACGACACTGTGATCATAGCAACGAGTATAGAGGATCTACAACATCTCATCGAAAGCTTGAGTATGAATAGTGCTGAGATGGGAATTACCATAAACGCTAAAAAAACGAAGTACATGCTAATTACAAAAAGACCACAAAATATAGATCACCTATTGACAATCAATGGTAACGTGATAGAACAAGTAGAAAAATATCAGTATTTGGGAACTTTGTTTAATGAAACCAATGATTATACTGTAGAAATAAATAGGCAAATAGATATTGCCAGATCAGCATTTATACGAATGAAGCCACTCCTAACGTGCAAAAATCTAAATTTGGAGATCAGATTACGTACCATTAGCTGTTATATATTTTGACTATTATTATATGGTGCTGAGACTTGTAGAATAAAAAAATGCAATTTAAAAAGATTCGAGGCTTTCGAACTTTAGTTATACCGCAGATTATTAAAAATGTCATGAACTGATAGAATTACAAATAAAGAAGTACTAAAGAGGGTTGGTAAAGAAACACCTAGGCCATGTGATGAACTGATGAAGGGTCCAAAATATGAAATTTTAAGACTCATAATACAGGGAAAGATTCAAGGAAAAATATCTGTTGGCCAAAGGCAGAACTCATGGTTAAAGAATCTACGTGATTGGTATCAATGCAGATCGATTGATTTGTTTCTTCTTAACATACCATACACCAAAGTGCGTAGGCGACTGACTATCTCATTACTAGAATTCTGTTCTTTGCGGCGTGACACAGCTCACCTGTATTGTGTATTCCTGTCCATTCTTTAATATTCCTTAACCAGGATAATTGTTTGCGGCCGGCTCCTCTCCTACCTTCGATCTTCCCTTGTAGGATTAACTGTGGTATTTCTTATTTTGCTCCTCTCAATATGCGCCCAAGGTAATCAATCTTGCGTTTTTTAATTAATTCAAAGAGTTGTCTTTCCACGCCGGCTCTATTAAGGACGTCATCGTTTCAAACTCTATCCACCCAAGGTATGCGCATCATTCTTCTCAATGACCACATTTCAAACGCTTCAAGTTTGTTGATAGATGTTTTTTTTTCAAGTCCACGTTTCCATGCCATAAAGCAAGATGGACCATATGTAGCACTTGACCATTTTGTAGCGTATTTCGAAGTTTAGGTGTTGATTACATAGGAGCGGTCTGAATTTCACAAAAGCTTGTCTTGCCATTTGTATTCGGGTTTTTATCTCGTGTTGTGGATCCGATTGGTCATTGATTGTGGTGCCAAGGTATTTAAAAGTTTCCACGCGATTTATACGATTGTCACCTATGCATATTATCGGGTTTTTTGAGGGTTTCTGCTAATGACCATATATTTCGTTTTCAAAATGTTGATCAAGTAATAACTGCTGATCTTCCAAATTATCAGTTATAATCACTGTGTCGTCCGCATAGCGTAAGTTGCTAATTGGTATGCCGTTCACCTTAATGCCTAATTCCGTATCTTCTAATACTTCCGCAAATATATTTTCAACATATAAATTAAAAAGCATCGGAGAGAGTATGCAGCCTTGGCGAACACCTTTCCGGATTTCAAATTCATCCGTATATTGGTCTTGATCAATCCTCACCTTTGCCATTTGGTTCCAGTATAGATTCTGAATAATTCTGATCTCCTTCTGGTCAATGTTGGCCCTATGTAGTAGTTCCATCATGATATCATGTTTAACATTGTCAAATGCCTTCTCGTAGTCGATGAAGGTGAGGTAGACATCTTTTCGCTGATCTAAGCAGTTTTGTATTAAGGTGTTCAAACATAAAAATGCCTCTCTTGTTCCTAGTCCTCCCTTAAAACCGAATTGTGTTGACCCGCTAAGTTCTTCTAGTATCTTGTACATTATTGAGTGTAATATATCCTAAGAAAGAGTTTCAACAAGTGACTCATTAAACTGATTAAGCGGTGTTTATTGCATTTTGTGGCATTAGCTGTTTTTGGGATCATCACAAAGGATGACTGCAGCCATTCTCGCGGAATGTAACCATTATAATAAATTCTATTGAACAGCCTTACCAAAATTTCGATATTCTCCTCGTCTAGTAGTTTTATTGCTTCTATATTATTTCATCTGTACCTGTTGCTTTATGCATCTTTGTGGTTCTAACTGCATATTCTATTTCACTTCGCATTATTGGTGGCCCTGATAAGTTTTCGGAAGGAAGTTTGCGCGTTGGTTGTGTTGTGTCTTTCGTCATTAAAAAGGCTTTCTGCGTATTCTTTCCACGCCATTGCTATCTCCTCTTCTGACTCTATGTTTGTATTAATTTGTTTGGAGCAGCAAATTCTAAAATAAAAATAGCCATTATGATTGCCAACCTCTTTAGGGAGACGGCACTCTAAGAAGAAAAACCCTTAGTAATAATGACCACTCTTACTTTAACCCCACTTAAAATAGCAAACTAAAAAGACTATCTCTCGACTGTTGACTGCCGCTAGTAACAGACATTTTCTCTCTCCCTCTCCTTCTTTCTCTCTCTCTTTCTCTCTGATAGTTACGTGAAAAAACCTCGAATCCTCTTTTGAATCCTAGAGACAACAAACGCAAATGCTTTCTATCTCTTGATCTTGATGTTTGTACCACGAGACACGTATTTAGAAATCGGTAAAGACAGCTCCTCTCGTACGAGAAACAACCGCCGTGTGAATATCGCGAATGAAAGCTTATAAATACCACGAGTGATACTAGAATTTTATAAACTTAATTTAGATATTATCTGTATTACCCTTTACTACCTCTCCTAATTATTTTAAACCAGATCTATTTAATACAGTTCTCATACTTTGAAATTATATTAATATCTTCATCCGTATACCAAAATCAAGCAGACTAAGAAAAACAAAAATATGATCCTGAATGAGATACCGAAAGGTTTGTTTGTTTTGGTTTCAACAAATTTTCAAATTTTATGCAGTAATTATAACAGTTTATTTATAAATCGTTAAGTGACAATAACATGAAATACCCGTGAGTGAACACATCATATTAGTTTTCATTAATATAACGTGATCAACCAGTTTTTTGTTGATTTGTAATTTAACAATTATCAATAAGATACGACTTAAGAAATATTATTCCAGTTTTATTACCTGTTTGATTACTAGTCAGGTCCGTATTATTTTTAAACACATGTCCTGTATTAAAATCAAAAATGGAACCTAATATTCAGAGTCTCTCTAACACATCACATGTATTGCAATCACAGACAAATACCAATAAAACCTATTCATCAGCAGCTTCTACACAATTTTCCTCAAAACATTAAGCAATTGTCTTCAGCGCTTTAGAAAATACGCGACTGCAAGATTACTTAATTCCTTTGGGTAACCTAATTCGTCCCAAAAACATTATATTTTCCTCCCGACTATCCAATAATCGGATTTGCATGTACCTTGCAAACAAACAAGTCGTGGACGAATTCATGCAAAATCATGGACAAATAGAAATCCAGAACAATATTGTACAAGCTAAAAGATTAATCTCACCAGCAACACGTATTGTCTTTTCAAACGTATGTCCAACAATACCACACAGTCTGTTAGTTGAATATCTACAAAGTATTGGACTTAATATGGTCTCTCCTGTCACTTTTCTAAAAATCACTTCCACTTTTTCCGAATATAATCATATTTTAAGTTTCAGAAGATAAATATACGTCAGTCCCCATAATATCTCCTTACCCGACTCATTCACCTTAGACTTCGATAATACAACATATCGAATATTCTTATCTCAAGAAACTATGGCCTGTTATAACTGCAAAAAGTCTGGTCATATCGCCACCAACTGTCCTGATAAACTAGAATCAACAAAAAACCTAATTGATTCTAATAACAGTCAATCTACTACTTCTTCCTCCCCTGACATCATGCCTCAACCTGCAGCAACGTCCATATCAAACGAACAAATGTCCGTCCCAGAAAAAAAAAGCAAACAATCTGAGCAATCCTAACATTGCTAATGGTCAAGAAGAAGTTAACACCATAAAAGGCTGCAAAGTAATTAATATCGATCTCCAGCCGAAACATAGTATCAATGATGCTCTTACGTCTTCAGAAACAACTTCTGAAACAACAGAAAAATTATTTGCTGTACATACATCCAAACCTAGAGTCAAGAAAGTTAACAGCAATGAGGAGCATACATGCATAAAATCAACAAAATCATATGAGCTTGAGCCTGCCAAAGATTTTATCCAAAATTATCTACTCACATTTGTCCTCAATTTTGACCAATTAAATCTACTTCTAAGCAATGTTAGCGGCGTGCAGGATCCTTCTAACATAATTTAAGAGTTTACTTCTGACCTTGTGGGATTACTTCGTATGCTAACTAAAGTTTATCCACAATTAAAAGATAGATCAACCAACCGTCATATCACCTTCTTAAGAAAGAAAATCCTCCAACACTTTCGTAGCGACATCTCTGAATCCGAGGGCGAGTCATCTCAGGATAACCCGTAAATTCATATTTTTTCTTATATAATATAATTCACTAAACTACTGCAATGGAATATAGATAGATTTTTCCATTGACTTCCCAATCTAGATCTAATTCTCCGTCAGCATTACGAACATTGGTATAATATATTTACAGATGCATCTAAGTGTGATAAACGAGTAGATGCTGCATTCGTTACTCCAAACGATACATATCAATTTCGTCTCCCAACCTTCTTTTCGATTTTCTCCGCTGAACTCTATGCAGTGTTTAAAGCTATCATACATATAAATTCTAATAACATTCCTAACCCTGTTATCTTAAGTGACTCACTAAGCGCCCTTCAAACCCTTAAACAGATCTATCCTAAAGGTCCCCTTGAGAAACTGATAAAACTAGAACTTTTGCAAGCTCAAGAAAATTCTAGGAGTATCAGATTTATATGGATTCCATCCCACATTGGCATTGCTGGCATCGAAAGTGCGGACCAGTGCGCGAGTGAAATTGCTAAATGTGCCAATATAGAAAAAGCCGAGTATCGAAATACTGCGAGTGATATAAAAGTCTTTATAAAGAATCGAGTTTTGTGCAAGTGGAAAAACGAATGGCAATCTTCTCAAACATCACTGAAGCAAATTAAAAATGACGTTGCAGCTTGGAAACCCTCAACAAGGAACAGAAGAGAACAATTGGTGAGAACGAGATTACGAATTGGACACACGAGATTTACTCAGTCATACTTATTTACCAAAAGTGATCCACCTATATGCAAAACATGTAATGTACAATTAACCATTAACCATTCAATAATTGAATGCCATAGATTTGCCAATTTTCGTGTTACATTTAACATACCTAAGAGTTTAAGTAATTAGGCACTAATTTCTCAGCTAGTAATATTGTAAAGTTTTTAAAATCTATAGGACTATTTTATAAACTCAAATTTTGTAATTCTGTAGCCGCCGCTAATAACCATTATGGTGGATGCGGCTGTATAAAAAAAAATATGGTCCGAGAAAAGAATTTTTAAAACTGATTCTTGAAAATCAAATAGCATGTTTCATTTTTAATATGTAACACTGATAATTTAAAATTGTAAAGATAGTGTTTGGTATAAGGTCGAGATTTTGACTTTCTTTTTGGAGTCATATTTAGGTTTCCTGAGTTTTGGGATTATATTAAAATTAGTTTCCTGATTCCTCACTTCAAAACATGACATATATTGCAGTGACAAAATAATATTACAAGTGATATGAATACTTACAAAAAGTTCTTCAAAAGGCTCTCTTTCATTGTGAACCCTCAAAGTAGATTTTGATTCTGAATCGATGTTCCAAACAAAGATATCACTATTAAATTCCACTATATGGAAGGTGTCTGTGTCTTTGAGCTGATCTAAAATACTACCCATGGCTTCCTTCACTTGTCTGAGCTTTCTTCCGTACATACTTCCGCTGGTGTCCAAGATGAAAACGACGTGTTTTGGAAGAGGGTCGACGTCCTCGGGAGCAAAGAAATGTACGAAGTATCCGTCTTTGAGAAGAATCTGCAATTAAAATTAGGTTATTATTGTAGAAAATGTTTATATTAAAAATTCCACGAGGAAACTAAGTTCCTGTAGCTGGCTGTATACCATATATCACAAAAAAAATTTGTTAAAATCCTTTATAAAAGGTATATAAAAATGCCTCAAACGGGCTATCACAAACACATTGCAAAACGTTTTCGGATTAAACAATCCATCATCAGTGCAAACGGTTGTACATGCTAGTAGCCACCAAAATATATGGGTAAAAACCCTTTAAATGTTATAAATTTGAAATTGTTTTACATTATTAGTATTTCTAAATTGTGATGGTTAAGTTACCGTTGGATAGGTAACATGGCGGCGTATGACTCTACATGAGTGACTCATGCTCATGTTATGGGTAGAGCGTTGTGGATCCCAAAAAGGTGTTATTTCCACCACTTCAGATTAAGTTGAAGCTAACAAAACAATTTGTCAATGCATTGACTAAAGAAGGGGAGTGATCTATCATTAAAAAACTAATGACAGATCACTTCCACTCCTTTACATTAAGTTGAGGCTGATAAAACAATTTGTCAAGACATTGACCAAAGAAGGGAAGTGTTTCAGATATATTTGTGGACAGTTTACTATTTTATTCACGCCAAAGCTAAAGAAAGAAATCTGTCATTAGAAAACTAATGACAGATCCCAACTTTGTGGACAAAATGAAAACAAATGAACAGGCAGCAAGTACATCTTTTAAGTTAGTTGGCATTGGCTTCTTAGGTAAAAAAAGATATCCAAACTAGAAAACAATCGTCGCAGACATGATTGACAACTTTAAGAAGCTGCTCTGTAACATCAGCATTAAACTTCACTTTCCCCACTCACATCTTGATACTTCTCGGCAAACCTTGGTGAAGTCTGTAAAGAGAAAGATTTCACCAAGGCATCAAAAAAATAAAAAAAAACATACCAAGGAAATAGAACGTAACCAAATACGGCTGGATTATGAAAAGAGTCCAGAGCCAGAAAAGCAATAAAAGAATCTTTGACAGAAAGCGAAAGCATTATTATAAGGACTTGGGAATTTAAAGAGAAATATATTGGTAATGGAAATTAGTTAAGAACATTATTAATAAATAAAATTAATTTGATAACGTTGGAAAAAGGTAAAAAATTGCTTAATTTTGTTATTATACCCAAACAGACTCCTAGTTTGTGAAAAAACCTGACATGATCAACAAAAATGGTTTGCATTTTTGAAATCAACGCAAAAAAGTACATAAAAGTCGGTTATCAAATTTCAAACAACTTTCAATAAATATATTTTTACAGGCCTGTGTAATTACTGAATGCCGGATAGCCGGATGTATCATGGCGCCCTTAATCTTCTTTGTTAACTAATTAAGTAATTGATAGAATTTATTAGTAAATAACAAAAACATGGCTACTTTATTTAAATTTTTTCTTGACAATATTAATTTTCATTCTACAATGAACTGTAGTGTATTTAAATATTATTTAATATAAACAGAAATATAGCAACACTGTTTAAAAGTCATACCTACTCCTTCGAGATGGTGACTGCTCTCACTTATCTTTGTTATCTTTGTTCCACGTTTTATTAGTGGCCACACGGATTTTTAAGAGTTGTTTAGTCTCATAGTTCCAGCAGTTTTCTTTCAAACTGTTCGTTTAAAAGCTATTAAGTTAATTTTAGTGCGTCTTTTTATAATACTTATTCACGAGTATTTATTACTTTGGTCACAGGTATACCTTATAAAACAAACAATTTACATACAAAAATAATACAAAACACTCACCTCTCCCTTTTGAGCATCTCTATCTACATCATACTGTACAACAAATTGCCCAGCTATACCTTCATTTTCTTTCTGCCCCAGTTCTTTCGCAAACTCTCTCTGTTTGTCGACGTTGGGATTGAATTTGACGACAGCACTGGTAGAGTTGATTATTTTGATGTCTGCGGATGGGTCAAGGTTGGCGTCGTTTTTGCTAATTTCGTTTCCCGACCTCAGCGAAGGAGTTTTTACAAATTTCAGAGGACGGCTTTCGTTCACAAAGACCTACAAATAAAAGTTTGTTAGATATTTCTTTTATTATTGGCAATAGTGGTGTCTGCTAACATAACGAATTAGCAAAAATGAATGTAAAAGACATTCAGGACAAATAATTCGTTTTCATAATGACTATTTCTGATTCAAAGACATAAATAATTTTAATTTTCATTTTGCAAAGAAAGACAAAGAATATTGTGTAAAATATTTATTGGATCTTAAAAAATACGTCGTTTAGAGACGAGAAATTAGTCAAAATACATTACCAAGGTTTATATTCTTAGGTTATAAAAATGCAAGTGTTTCAATCAAGTTGTGGAAATTAAATTAAATTAAATATTGCTGAAATACTTGGCGATGTTTTGCTATATGAATCAGTTATTTATGAAATATAGTAGGTCATAAAACTTAAATTTTATAGGAGAAACAAAAATCCGTTTCCAGAAGATTAGATGTTATAAATTATTTTAAATATATAAAATACTGAGAATAGGGTTTATATGAAACATGACATGGGTAAAATTACAAAATTTTGAATCTTAGTTTAAAAATATTTTTTCAATTAGATGCTATGACATGTTTCATAAATAAACATAGTTATTGATATATATTTTCTATCTAAAACAAAAATAAGTTATTAAACGTGAGAAAATAACAAGAAAGTATTGTAAAAAAACATTTATGTGGTTTTATAAGTTTAAATTACATGTGATGATGTAAGAAACTATTCCCTATTGGCGAGTTGGCCAGTCTTGTAACGTATTATAAAATTCTTTGTGCTTCTTGTAAGTACTGAAGTGTATTTTTTAAATCGCCTATCTTCTCTTTTAAAATGGGACACTTCGATTGATAAGCTTGAGTAGTAAATAGTTAAACATCATACTGTCCTGACTTTTTTAAAGTAAATGTACTCCTTATAGCGCACAGTAACAGTACCTTTTTTTAGTTAAATACAAATTCGTTGTATTCAAAAATTTTTAAGTTTTTTTTCTTTGTGCTTTGTTAGCAATACATTCATTAGAATTAGTAACTTGATTGTAGACAGTCTCTATCATTTGGGAAGAATGAATGACCTCTTAAAGGCAATCTATAGATTTTTTTAATTGGCCCATATCTGTCAATGCCCAGAGAAAACGTATCATCGAATGATTTTTGTTTTGTCCTGCACAATTGTCTTTGCACAGGTACAAATTTTCAACTCTAGGCAAAGCATAAATATTCAAATAATCCAATAGAAAGAAGCAAATTTCATTGGGTCCTTTCTTAGCAAGGCCTTCATGGTATAGGTAAAACACCAGTTCCATCACCAACATTATGAATTAAGAATGGAAGTACAAAAATATCCTGTATATAGTCGAATGTTAAACAAATACGCTTTACATAGTTCTGTTGTATTCTTTATAGATTTGTAAAATTTGTTACTGTTTTTTGTGGACAAGCAATTCGGCAGCAGTAATACTTTTTGCAGTACGGTTAAGTGTTGTGTTTTCAGTCTTAATATTAGTCTTTCACATTCACAGCAAGTGTTCACTTGTGGCCGTCCAAAGCGGTAGCTAAACCTCTCTTTAAAAATTTTGTAATAGAATGGCTATCCTACTTTTGTGTCAGGGTACCTAGTTTTAAAAAGATCGTACATAATTTTTATGTTCAGGGTTAAACAAAAATATTCGACTTCTTGCGTAGAATAATGATTAAATGTGATCCATTATTTGAGCAACAGTGTTGGCTAGAATGGTTTTCTTGTTATTCTGCTGCTCTCTCTTATCTTCAGGAGTATTTTCCAAAAGTAATAAATTTTGTAAGCGCTTAATTTTAATTGATGTTACGTCATGGAAGCTTTCAAACGCTCTCTTGCCGATCATTATATTACGTTTTCCCAAATAAACGTTATAAACAAATGAAGTGTTTCATTCTTTAAATGATCTTTTCCTCTTGTTCTCTAATTTTCTTGGTCTTCGATTTTTTATAGGTATGGCCTCAATTACGCGCTGTAGGTAAATATCTTGTTCGTTTTTAGTCTTGAAGGAATATATTTTTTTAAATGTCCTGTCTTCCGTAATTTGTAGCATTTTTAAGTTCTTTGGTATATACTGAAATCACCCCGTATATGTTAAAACCCCCAAAAAGGATTTTTATTCCTTTTTGCGTCGCCGAGGTCGATAATGAGCACATTTCAAAGTTTGTTTATATATCACAGACGCATATGCTTTGGTATTTTCTTTGATCTTTTTTCGCTGAATATTGAGTTTCAAATAAACATCCATATAATCACGAAAAAGGCAACAACAAAAAAAGAAATTATGCAAAGATTAGGACAAACAATTTGACAACTTAACTCAGTATGGTGGGATAGACACATAAATATGAAAACAAAAACACAGATTTATAAAACATTAGTGCGAAGTATTATGACATCTGGTGCTGAAAATTGGATGAAAAACAAAAAAAACAACAGTAAGATAGTAAATAGCAACAAAGATAGAATGCCTGCGAAGATGCTGCAGAGCAACAAGACTGGATAAGAGAAGTAATGACCAAATAAAACAAAAAACATTAATAGAAACAGACATACTAACATATATAGAATAAAAAAGACTAGTGATATGGACATGTAAGAAGAACTAGCGATAGCAGATGGATAAACAGAACAACCGAATGGAGCCCAATAGGAAGAAGGCAAAAGAGGACGACCCCGAAGATCCTGAAGGAACGAAGTAGACGACGCTTTGAGTAAGAGAGACCTAAACGATGGAGAATGGGACAACAGAGAGAGAGATTGAAACGGTTGAGCAAGGGAAGGCAGTAAATACTGTAGAATCCCTGAATATATTTAAACATCCATTTAGATCGCTGAGAAAGTATTGCGGGGAAGAGAATTACAATACTCTTGGTAAGGCCGGCCGCTATTAAAGGCGTGTTTAGTTTTATTGGAGTCGGAATTTTTCTTCAAATTCGTAATTTTTTCGTTTTCCTTTTGTTGTCATGGAAATATAGTATAGATTGACAGTAGCAGTTAAATGTGTAGTATTGAGCAGTTAATAGTTACAGTTTAAGTTAGGTTTGAATGATTGGTTACTGAGAACAGACGTCGATGTTTTTATCCGGAAAAACCGGCAAATTTGTTGAAAAAAGTGAATTACACACAATGTAATGTGTCAATTTTCAACGAGTTATTACTGTTTTGTTTTATGTCGTCTTTCACCTAAGATATTTGTATTTAAGAAATTTGCGGCGTTTCCAACAAATTTGAAAAATACCCACATGGTTCCAGTTTTTTAAACAAGCAGATTTTCGAAGTTTGTGTCCAGTGCCAACTTTCAATCTCAATTTGTTTTGTCTTAAGAAGCCGTTTCAGAATACTTTCCGCAGTTTGGAGGTGAAGTTGTTCGTGTGGAAGAAAGTATAATTCCAGTCCTAACCCCAGAAATTGAAAGTAAAGAAATTTTAGTGAAATCCAGGTAACTCTTTTGTGTTAAATTTTAAAGGCAAAACAAACATTTTCTAACAATAATTGCTTTCGTAACAATTTAAGAAATTGTAATAATTAAAATTGTAGATCTTAGGGTGTGGCTTAGCTGTCATTTTAATTGTTCTCAGTTTTGAGATTTAGTATTGACATATGACAGTTAGCACTATTTTTGATATTTGGTAAATATCTAATCATATTTAAGATTTGGTTTTTGTTTTTTTTTAAGGTTAACCTCTATGCATAGTTTAATTTAAAAAGATATTTTTTTTTATTTGTAATCATTTATTTCTGCTACAAATTATCGCCCAGTAACAATTGTAAGTATTGTGGTATCTCCAATTTCAAGAGTTTGTTTGTGATTTGTGGACTATTAGTGGTGAGTTAAGAATCAATATTGAATTTTTTTCCCAAACCAATTTGTTTATTTTTTTTTTGTTAAAGTTTATAACCCCTTTTTGTGTTTTTAGGTTGGAAGATCTTTATCTTTCATCCAGCAGGAAGATTCCTCAAAGCGGCGTTCTTATTTTAAATAGCTTGAGAATCTTCTTGTCTTTTGTTTGATCTAGGAGATTTATGTAAGTACCCCTTCATTTCATTTTTGTAGTTGCCCCAATCAAATCCTCTTGTCACGTACTTAAACACGGCCCAGTTCTCCAAATAAACCCTGAGTGGCTGTTTGCATAAGTCTTGCTTGCCCTATCCCCACCCCAATAATTTCTGACCCCAATTTTCAACCCCTTATAGTGATACCCTACGTGGTAGGCAAAATATTAGTTACAAATTTCATCCCAGAATGTTATTTTGCAGCTAAAATATAACTTAATTTAACCTAACTTGCCTATGTAAATTAGTTACAACTATTTACTTACACGGTTTTTCTTCGGTTCTTTTTGGTTTTTCTTGTAGTACTATATTGCCTTTGTAATTAATATACTCTGCTCCAGAAAGTATTGCATTTTTAATTTTATTGACTTTATACTCGTTGTGTGTAATCATCTCTTCTCTTTTTTCGTTTAACACTTTCATTATCACTCATTTTTGTTACTAAAATACGAATGTAAAGCAACACTAATGCTTTAGCAATGACAGAGGACAAACAAACAAAAGTTAGGTTAGAGGTGGTATGGATTGTGTCAAATTGGTAGATGAACGTTTATTTGTGAAACATATTAAGTCGTCGACTTAATATCTTTCATAAATAAACTGAATGAAAAACGGTCTCTTAGTGAGTGACCTGTAACAGTACTTAGTATGTTTCATACATAACTGATTCATATGTTTTAATCCAGCAATGCAATCACTGCAATGTATACACAAGACAGTACATCTCACGATAATTTTCAGTATAATATTACACATTTAAGGAAAATTAAAGATGAAAGAGTTCAATAATTAAGAAGTATATAAGAGAAGTAGTTAATGGGAAGTATTTTGTTCGACTATCATTTTATTTTTCAAACAAGCACAAAAATTTGATTCATAATTACCATGTGTTATTTAATTATAATTTCTCATAGAAACTTACCTCGATATTCATATCTTTAACTACTTGGCCAGGGTGTATGTTCAGTACGAGCTCGTATTGGTTATTTTTTCTTTCCAAAAGTTCTTCGTAGGTAAGATGGAAAGTAGCTTTACTCTCTGGTTCAACGTTAATGGACACTGTGAATCTGTTAGAGTCTCTAGCACTAACCGAAACGTGGCCAGCACTTATACCTTGTCGAACAGCCTAAATATACAAAAAAAAATTAGATCAGTGCACAATATTATACAAAAGGTATTAATATATTGTTACTTACCGAATCGTAGATATTTTTAGCTTCTTCTTTTTCTTTAACATAAGCCTCGTAGCTCTTGCCGCCTATTTCCATTACAAATTTGGAAATAAATGCTTTTTCTGGTAGAACCACGGTAAAAGTCGCTTCTTTTGGATTTTTTTCTGAATTTTTAACTTTACTGGTAACCAATGTCTTGGCAAATCTATTAGAGATGTTGGAATGTATGTTGAATTCCGAAATAATCGGATCTTCGCTTTGTGCTTTCTGATCATTTTGAATCTTAAAGTAAAAAAATAAGTTGTATATTATATTAGTGGTGACAATTATAGAAATATAGATTGTTTATTAAAATGTTTGTTAGATTTTTCACGCATATTATTAAGATGTTTCATTTAGATTTCTTTAAAGTTTGTTTTAGCATGTTTTATACTAAATCATCTTTTTACTTCTTCTTTTCCCAATTGTACAAAATCGCTAAGATCTTGCCCGTTTCTGCATTTATTTTTGTTCCTTAAGTACAAAACCATCTAAAACATCTGTTTTTTTACTCGTTGGCATTTGTGGCATGACAAAAGTTTTTAGTGTTAAAACTTATTCTGTTAATAATCTTCTTTGGTTTATTATCCTTCAATCTTTACTTTTTCTTTATCATTTTTTGCTTCCATCTTTGGAGAAAGTTTTCTTCAGTTTTATGTAATGTCGACGGTTGGCACATATATTTAGTGATTGGTTTTGCTATTATGCTGTTCCAAATTTTATCTTCCTTGGCAGGAGTTGGATTTTAAAAGATTTCTTAGACTTATATAAATGTTAAATAACGTTTTATCTATCAGAAGATATGAATTAAGGATCTCTAATGGTCTATATATAGAATAAGAAGAAATGTTTAAGGGCGTGAGACAGAGCTGCATCCTCTCCCCACTGCTGTTTAACATTTATATAAAAAAGATCTTTCAACTGTCACAGAAGAATGAAAAAGATATCAAAATAAATGTAATTCCCATAAATAATGTACGATATGCTGATGGTACAGCTATCATAGCAGACACTATAGAAGAATTACAAGAAACAATAAACAATATTATTACAGTATGAAAGGAAAGTAAAGTACAGGGCAAAAGATCAGCAGGAAGACGTCAGAACTTGTGGCTAAAAGAAGTGAGGAGATGGTTTGATCGTTCGTCCGCAGAAATCTTTTGTGCAACAGTTTACAAAGCTGTAATTGCCATTTAAATTGCCAACTTTCAAAAGGAGACAAAATAAGTAGAATGGGTAGAAGGTAAAAGGCAGAATAAGTAGAAGGAAAGAAATATGGAACTGATAGACAAAGCTGAGAAATTTATATATCTTGGAGCCACCTTAAAGTAAGTAATACTATGACCGTAAAGGTAAAGGTTGCTTTAAATTTCATTGGTTAACCATATTATAAATGAAGAGGTCCTAAAAAGAGCAAATACCCAAAGAAAATTTCTCTCAGAGAAAAGTCGCATAGCTAGGTCGTATGTTAAGAGACAGAAAATGTAATATTTTCTTCTTCTTCTTCAAATTCCGCACCTATTGGAGATTTAAAATCAATCTGGCAATTATAATTTTGTTAGTTACGCGCCTGAATCGTTCAATTGAACTGCAAATAAACCGCAATGAAATTGCAGCATCTTACTTCTTTTGTCTGATCAGTATTTTCTGTGATTCATGCTCCAAGGTGTTTGTACAAAGATATTATATTTTTTATTATATTTTAAAAGATATAATCTTTTAAAAATCATTTTACTGAGCAAAATTAAAGGTCGCAGATAATAAAAGGTAAAAGATAATGATGTTAAGAATTTGTCTGTGTTCTTTAGTTTTTGTATTTGCATGTAACATTAATGATCATTGTTAAGCACTATTTTTCTCTTTGTATTCTGCTTTGTGCTCTGCTTAGAAAACTAAACTTATAACAAATCTCGTAATGAGTGGAAATATAACTATTGACAATAATACTTCTTTGTATCATACTGTTGCATAATCAAAAATTCTTTGTTTATGCAACTTCTCCGTTCAATCATGGTAGTACTTTCAACTTTATTTGATGCTAATATAAATGTGTCATCTGCCTATCGCAGATTAATCATTTTCCTCTATAGTGATTCCTATATATAGAATTCCTCAAATCCATCTTTATCGCAATACCTAAAAAACACAATGCGAGAAAATGCTCAAAATATCGATTAATTAGCCTAATGAGCCACTCTTAGAATTTTCCTCAAAATACTTCACAACAGAATTAGACGCAAATGCGAAGAATATCTCTTGAAAAATAATGAAGATATCCTTGAATCTTGAAGATACCCAATTTGGTTTTAGAAATGCTATGGAAACCAGGGAGGCACTTTTTGCGCTTAACATCCTATTACAAAAATGCCGTGACCAAAGAAAAGATGTATTCACATATTTCGTGGACTTTGAAAAGTCATTCGATAAAATACAGCATGTAAAATTAATGCAAATACTGAAAAATATCGGAATAGATGACAAGGATATTCGTGTCATTAAAAATTTGTAATTAGATATGCAGACGATACAGTAATTCTATCAGATAATACTGAAGGTCTTTACATTCGGCTTGATCGTACTCACGAGGTAGGAGAGGAAATGGGCATTAAAATAAATTCAAACAAAACCAAATTTTTAGTGTTTAGTCATGACCCACATCCCTATGCAAAGCTTCAATTGAACGAAATCCAAGTTGAGAAAGTTCACAATATGACATATTTGGGAACTGTGATAACGGACCAACTAGATCCAGACATAGAAATAAAACGTAGAATAGCAATGACTAAAACTACTTTTATGAAAATGAAGTCATTTCTTTGCAATAACCATCTCAGTTTAAAACTATGGCAAAGAATGGTTAAGTGTTATGTTTGGTCTGTACTTTTGTATAGTGCAGAAGTGTGGACGCTAAAAGTATCGATCATGAACAAAATTGAAGCATTGGAAATGTGGGTTCATAGACGAATGCTGAAGATACCTTGGACAGCAAGAAAAACTAATGAAGAAGTACTAAGGAGCGTCAACAAAGACAGAGAACTGCTAAAGACTGTTAAACATCGAAAAATGTCTTATCTGGGACATATAGTAAGGGGAAGTCGATATAAAAATTTACAACTGATCCTTAAATGCAAAATAGAGGGCCGTAGAGGTGTAGGAAGAAAACAAGTTTTTTGGTTAAAAAACATTCGTGAATGGACTTAGATACCAAATGCAGGACAATTATTCCATATTGCAGAAGATCGAGAAGCCTTCGCAATGGTGATCACCATCGTCGGATAGTTCTGATATAGCACGCGAAGAAGAAGAAGTAATTCCTATAGTGATTCCCCTATTCTATTCGGTTGGTACTTTTCGCAATTTTTGTGTAATAAGAGTAACAGTATACCGTTCTTAACCAGCTTAACCACATCCGTTTCGCAGATGATATGGTCCTTATTACAGATAATTTAGAAGAAGCCACAGATATGTTAAATGAATTGGACTTTGCATGTTCGAATGTGGGCCTCAGAATGAACTTGACCAAAACAAAATTTATGACAAATATTGTCCCCAATAACAATTTAACTATTCAAGTCAGTGGTAGAACTGGTGGAGAAATATACGTATTTGGGTTATAAAGTAAGAATCAGCAGGGACAAGCAAACATGCAAAATCCAAAGACGAATTACTTTAGCGTGGGCAGCCTTTAAAAAACTGCGAGACACACTTAGGACTAATATACCAATTAACCTTAAAAGAATAGTATTCGACCAATGCGTATTACCGGTCATTACCTATGGGGCAGAAACTATGACTCTCCTAAGACTACGGCATTGAAATTGAGAGTGGCACAGAGACGAATGAAATAATCTATGCTAGCCTAGCAGTGACCTTGCGAGACTGAATAAGAAACGAAGATCGGCGAAAAAACACGAGTATTGCTGATGTTGTGGAACGCATAGCGGAACTTAAATGGAACTGGGCAGGTCATGTAGCGAGAATGCATGACTCACGATGGACGAACAAAATTACAAATTGGAGGACAAAAGCAGACATACGTAGTAGAGGAAGACCACATACATGTTGGGCTGACGACATCAGCCGCATCACCAAAAATTGGCAACAAAGACCACAACATCGCAAAAAATAGAGGAGTTTAAGAAAGGCCTATGCACAGCAGTATAAGTGATAAATGGGCCGTAATAAATGGCAAATGATAATTTGATTTGTACTGTCATAGCTATTGTTTGTTCTACCAACAACCTAGGGGGTATCACCTAGTTCGAGCTAGTATAAAAGTAAAAAAAAATGATTAATATTTTCAAAATAAAAACATGCAAAACATCAATACAAGAATACTATGCAGTAAAACAGAAGAATGTCAGATGCCATTAAAAAAACAACTGAGTGCCTAAAATCGAAATCCTACAAAAAAATAATCAAGACTTGTGGCTAGAAATAGTTTTAGTAGAAACATCAAAGACAATTGTAGAAAAAAATTGTTTACTTTTCGAACACTTTTTACATTTGCTGAGTTTTTCTACGCTGCAGATTAATTGTAAATTATATTTTTGTTATATTATATTTAATTTTTGTTATTTATTGACCTATGTAATTTTTTGTCCTATGACCTATGTTAATGATTAAAAATATTTATTTTTGGTGTTTATGTTCACGGTTAAATTTAGGCTTAGATAAAAGAAATGTGTTGATTTCATCGAAAAGAAAAACAAGCTTATGTAATTTAAGTATTTAAATGTCTTTTAAATGGGATTTTCAATCTTCAAACCCAAAGATAATTTTATTTTAAAATCTGAATGTTATTCCCGACTAGATATTCGATTATGATTTATTATTATCTATTACAACTGTTATAGTCCAGTCATCATTGATTTGATCTCTAAAGTCGAGAGGATCAATATGAATTTTGCTAAGAAATAGAATTATTTTGGGACCCAAAAAACATGCAAAAGAGTTTAATACTACTACTCTGACTTCCCCATAAAGATCCGCCTCGTAAAGAGGAAAAATGGAAAAGATCGGTTTACCAAGAATCTATACATCGTAGAAAAAAATATTTCCAATAAAAAAGGTAGCTGAGATAATTTTAAACAAAAATGTTTAATAGCACTTTTTGTGTATAAAGTGTATAAATTGTTTGTCTTAGAAACTACACTTGAAGCAACCAGAGATTTTGAATGTCAGTTACGTGCGTGACATCAATTTTAAATAGAATTTGTATCAACTAGACGGTAAAAGTTGTGAAATTGTCCAATTTTGAAAACCGAAATTTTATGCTATTGGTTTTAAAGATTAGGCTGTAGTAATGAACATTCTATAGTAATCGACGAATAGAAGTGATACATTTTACTGATCTCATGAGTAGACTTAGGCAAATATGCAAATTGCATATTTTGCATATAATGCATAAAAAATGAAAAAATGTCAAATTTGGCATATTTTTATAAAAGTGAGCATAAAGTGCATAATTTGAAAATTTGGTGTTAAATATAAAATATATTTTTATATTCAAACTTACAGATAGCATCAACATGTCAATATTTAATTTTATTTTATAATCACTTGGTATTCAAATTCTTAGTATAGTAACTAATAAAAGACAGCGGCTTATAGTTTTGTCACGTTTTGTTCAGGAATTAACGGTTTGTGTAAACCAGTTTGTCTCTAGGTAAAAATTTTTATTTTGACCGCCAGTTTCACTTGGTTTCACTTTTGTTGTAAAATTGGAGGCGTAAACAACTTGTATTTCTAATTGTGAATAATTATTGTGCTTTGAAAATGCCGAAAATAAGCAATGTTTTAACTTGGATAAAACCTTACAAAGAGATATTCTGCAGAAACCTTTCGTCGGGAACACAACAGCATCGAGATCGAGTGTTCGTTTTCATCCTATACCCTGAGACCTTAGACTCCGAGGTAAGTGAATCTCATATTATAGAATTGACAATAAGTTATAAAATCTGCCAATTGTTATTAGAATTACAACATTTTATTATACATATATTTGCTACAAATATTTGATATATTCGCTACTTTTATTTACAGTCAAAATATTGCATTTTTTTTCTTCATTATTGTTTATCAAATATTATTAACCAGCGACCTCGTAAGTTTAATACAAACATCCATAGATAGCTCTTTGTAAGCTTTTATCCAAGTTGAAACATTGCTTATATTCGGAATTTTCAAAGCACAACAATTATTCACAATTAGAAATACAAGTTGTTTACGCCTCCAATTTTACAACAAAAGTAAAACCAAGTGAAACTGGCGGTCAAAATAAAAAATTTTTGTACATATGTGTGGACGAGACCACTGACTTGTCACGAAGATACATTGGGCACTTATTGATTGATGAACTTGGCGATGAAATCTTTTCAAATCGTATTTAATCTCGGTCAGATAGCCAAGCAGGATATGCGCTTCTCATTCGCTTCACTGTCGAATAGTTCAGTGGATGTGAGTTCGTGCCTCAGCTCGGTGTACAAAAAAATAAAAAGACTAACGCAACAGTTTAAAAGTCTAGATGAATCCGTGGCTTAGACTAGAATATGCTGGTGTCTGATCGGCCTATGGTGGAGCAGTACGGCAAGAGATAAGGGTTTGCGTCTCTATGATACTCCTCCATAGATTCCTACCGGAAGGGCGTGCAGCCTTAATACCGGTGTATATATATTTAATTTCCTGTAAGTAAGTGAAAAAAACCAACGCTCTAATAATATCACGGTTTCTACAAGAAGCATTAGCAAAATTTTTTCTTCCTGCTGCTGTGCCTTATGATAAATTATTGCTAATTTTATCTGATAACTAATATTAAAAGCGATTAAAAGTGCTAATAACCATGATTATTCAAAACAATCTTAAAACTAGAAAGTGTAACATTGCACTTAAATATTTTTATTACAACAATTCAAGGAGGGTACAAAAGGGACAGATGGACAGATATGCAAAATTAACAACACTAGGGGAAATCCTTGCACTTCATGGAATTCTCTTCCTTGCGGGTGTAAAAAGTTAAGCCATACTGATTTTAGAGAGATGTGGGCCACTAATGGCACAGGAATCCAAACCTTTCCGACATGTATAGGATCTAAACGTTTTCTGTTTCTCCTTGGAGCACTAAGGTTCGACGACAAAACAAGACATGAAGAACGAAATCAGACTGATAAATTAGCGGTAGTGCGAGAAATTACAGACAAATTCACAGACAACTGTCAAAAAATTTCTGCCCAGGTAAACCTACTATAATTGTCGAAATTTTATTTCCATACAATGGTCGTTGTAGTTTTTTACAATATTTAACAAACAAGCTCAACAAATATGGGATAAAAATATTTGCATTGTGTGATTCAAAGGTGTTTTATGTCTCGCATTTAGAAATTTAGTGTGGCATGCAGCCCAAACAAGGATATAATCTGCCAAACACTGCAACAAATATTGCAAGTACTCAGATTGGCGGAGCCCTTCAAAAAGTTTTAATTTCTAGAATAAAACTAAAAGGGGAATCGATGTAGTCGACCAAATATGCAGCAATTACACTGTTTAAAGACGAACTACACGGTGGCCATTGGTCGCATTTTATCTGCTTATGAATATTGCAGGAATAAATTCCAATATTTTATTTAACACCACTAATTGCGATAAGGCCTTGGGAAAAATCATTAGGTCATCGTCATCATTAAAATGTGTTTTGTAAATTTACCCAAAACTTTGAAAATACAACGTGTCATCGTTATTTTCTCATATTTTCGATTTATTTTATTTAATTATTTATTTTAATCCCATTTATAAATAAATAAAGTTGTAAATTATTAAATTAGTGGTAGGTGAAGTAGAGTATTTAACTCGAAATAATGGCTATTATTTTTCAATATAATGCCTTCTCGTCGCTAACGTGACTAGTTTCCTAGATATTTCTCGGAAATAATAGCATTATTGGCTCGTATTATAATCAACTAATAAGTTAGTAAGAAGAGTTAACTAAACTTACCTCTTTTGCACTACGAATACCTCTTACAACTAAACCAGGGATGCAAAACGCCCATCCCAGGCACACACTTGCCACCAAGGCAAACAATATACCTTTCATTTTGACTTATCTGTACTATTTTTAAACTAAAACTCATCTTTAATTAATTAAACACTTCAATATATAGCTAATTAATTGATATTTTTTGTTTAATAATAAAATGTTAGAGGTTATCCAAAAGATAATGGCGTATAGAATACACAACCTTCAGAGAAAACTTGATTGTTGTTACTTAATGTCTTGTTTTTCCCATATTTCTCGTTAAATAATATCTCGTCAAATAATTAATATGGATTCTTTGTACTAAGACGTTAAATAAAAATTCTCAGTAAAATTATTTTTATTACATTGATAGTTACTATTGATAGCGAATAAAACTACAAAAAACACATCCTTGTTTTGAATTTCCAGAGAAACTTATATTCTTTGGAAGCTCTTATTACAACGAAGCATATGTTATGATCTTACGCATTATTATATTCTGAAGAAAATTGTTGAGTTATTTCCACGTAACTTGACATTTATTTCACATGAAAATAATATATTTGTAGAGTTCTCTAAGCCATGGATACCAATACTGCGTTTTAAACCATAGAATCAATGTTGTTGTATATTACAAGTGGGTTTTACATATTTCGCCCATTCTGTAAATTATCCTAATAGTCTAGGCGGGATCTGTTTTGGATTGAAAATTTTCGAAGGGAAGCTATTTTTTTACTGGAATCCCTTCAGGATGTGCCCATTATCGATAATCACGATATGCGCCAGTCGCAAACCCTGTGCTAAATTTTTTATTTAACAAAATCCGAAAACAATTGAAAATTTCTCATTTTTTTGCACCTATTTTCATTTATAATTCGGAAAATATTGATCCTAGAGAAAAAATTATGGGTAGTTAAAAGTTTAGTTATTAAATTTTACACAATATTTTGTTAGCTAGAAATTGAAAATTTATTGGTTATTGTTGAAAAAAAAGCAGTAATTGGAAAAAAAAGTACAAAAAAATAAAGTTAATCCTTTAAATGTTTTCGACTTTCTAAACTTGACTTACAAGTTCCATATTCCGCCTAGAAAAACTTTTTAATATGTTTAAAACGTGTGCTAAATTTTGTTAAGATCGGTCAAATAGGTTTTGCATAATAATTTTGCAATCCAGCCTACTGGAAAAATATCGCAAATTTTCAAATTCATAGTAGGCCCTAAATAAGGCCCTTAGATAGTTGCAATTTTTTTTACACAGAAAGAAAGTCTCAAACTTTCAAACGCTTTTTGTAAAATTTAAATCAGTTTACTAGGGGACCCTAGAAATTTTTTTAAAGTTATAAACATTTTTTAGGCTTATAAACAAATTAAATAACTTTACGATCTTTAAACATATCAATTACAAAATGTATACACTTAAAGAACATTAAAAGACGCTTCTTTTAGAAAACAAAAAGATACATTCGGCTTAGTGGTTGCCGAGATATTGAAGGTCAAAGTTGGTATACATTTGCCGTGTAACCATAAGTGATAGAGGGCTCGTTTTTAAACAGATACCCTCGTCTTGCCAAATACTTTTTATATGAAAAGTTTTACGTAATGCGCTTCATGGCAACATCCATAAAAAAGACAAATAAAAAACCTTTTTCGCGTAATATGTCGCTCGGAATGCATGAGAGGTGGTGGTGAGGGACATTCACTTCAAATGTGAATCGGCGAGTATCAAGTAGGGGACCATCAGTTTGTTTAATTTCGGGTTTTGAAATATAAACAAAAGTAAAGTGCTCCAAAATTGTTAATAAATAATTTGAATTGTTAAAACGAAGGAAATTTTTTTTTGTAAAAATCAAACATTTTAAAATAATTAACATTAAAAATAATTTATTTCTGCAGTTTTATCATAATAATGACATTATTTCATTTGAAAATATATTTTGATTCGAAAGTGACGTGTATATTAGGGTGGAACGAAAAAGGGAAAAAAATAAAAGTAAAGAAAAATGATTGTGGCTATCGTTTAAAAGTTGTGTCAGGTAATGAAAACAAACGGTGCGAAAGCATTTTGAAATAAAAAAAAATCATGAGGTTCCATATTGGATTTGAAAAATGAAAAATACAAAAAAAAATATTTTTGTTGAAAAAATCGATTTGGCTGTGATCAACAGTCGTCTTTAGGATTGAAAAGCATCTAATGCAAAATTATTTTGAAATTAAACGATGTTTTCAGGTTCCAGAGGCGTCATTTGATAGGGTCAAGGGGGCATTTGCCTCCTCCCCCTGGTCCTGAAAATGACTGAAATTTACAAAAAATAGATCAATTTTGTATTATGTTTGCATATATAATGTATGGTATATATAATGCTTGCCCCACCCCATATCAAAATTTCAAATGACGCTCCTGTCAGGTTCTATAATGCCATTGAAGCTTGATAGTATGAAGTACGTGTTCCAAACAACGCCAGTTGTAGATCAAGTAGGAAGAGAAGGGAAAAACGCAGACGCAGATGTTACATCAATCTTGCAACCATTCATGCAGGCATAGTGACACAACAACAGATAACAGTAATGTTGAGTTTCTTATCTCACACAGACGTGTCGTATATAAACATATTCTTCGAAATGTCAACGCGAAGTAGTTTGAACTGTGAAATACTAGTAACAATTATTGGTGTTTTCAATGATCGTGTTTTACCCACTAAGTGTGACATTCTAAAGTGCTTTCTCTTTCTTCCTAATGAACTTAAGTTGACAAATAATAATAAAGATCCATCTATCGCCTACGCCTCGAATGCCGTTGCAACGAAAGTAGAACAAATATGGATAAAAGCTTCTATTCCAACATTATCGCATAAACGCATGCAAGATATGATCAAAAATATTTATACAGAGTATCAAAAGCTGAAGCGATACACAAAAACTCAGCAAGCATCTAATTCATACAAATAAAAGATTTTCCAGTTTCGAAATAAGTGTGAAAAGTTATTTGATATCGCGGCTTGCAAGTGCAACATGTGTGGAACACTGTGTGAGAGTACTTGTGATAAAACCAAGAAAGTACCACAAAATGAGCGAATTTTTCTTCAAGATCAACGATCCTGTAGAAAAATGGCAATTGAACCAGTGGATATTGCAGTATCTGCTGCAATAAGGAAGAAAACGAAAAGAACCACGAAGGCAAAGGCAAGTTCTCAAAAATATAATACTGAAAAAATTTTTCTTAAAGCATGTACCGTTGATTCCTCAAATCGTTCCATAAGTAGCAACTTGTCTGACTCAAATTCTTCTGATGCAGATGATCATGAAGAAGAATTCATTGCCCCTTTGTCAACAGTTACAGTCCAACCATCTACTTCACAAATGCGGATTTGCTTGCCAAGTTTAGCTTCGGCGTGCGACAGAACCGGGGTCTCCGATCGTTCTGCTGCAATTATAGTATCAGCGGTCTTTAAAGATATGGGAGTTATAACTGTGACTGATACATCGAAAGTAATAGATAGAATGAAAATAAGGCGACAGCGTGCATCTCATAGACGTTCACTCCAGAAGCAGAAGGAGGGACTGTCAATCAGAAGTATATTTTTTAATGAGCGTAAAGACAAGACTGTCTTGCAACAAAAAAAAGGCAAAAAGTTTTATAGAAAAGTAGTTACAGAAGAACATGTAACAATTATTGAAGAACCAGGCTCTCGATATCTAGGCCACGTGTCTCCTTTATCAGGATCGGCTGCAAACATCGCGGATAGCATACAGACATTCATCCTGAAAAATAATATTGATATATCGAAGTTAAGCGCAGATGGATGCGATGGTACGGTAGTGAACACTAGCCCTCAAGTAGGCGTTATAAGAAAACTGGAAGAATACTGCGGCACCTCACTTCAATGGCTAGTATGCTTATTTCATTGCAACGAACTACCTTTACGTCATTTAATACAACAGTTAGATGGACGCACCAGTGGACCACTTGGTTTTTCAGGGCCAATAGGAAAACTTCTGGAAGGCTGTGAAGAGAAAGCTGTCGTCAATTTCGTTGCAATAGAAAACAACCTACCAGTATTATTAGAAGCAACAGACCTTAGTACCGATCAGAAGTACTTGTACCATATCAGTCAAGCAGTTTCTGCAGGAAAATGTCCTAACGATTTGAGCCTTCAAAAACCTGGGAAAATATCACACGCAAGGTGGCTGACAGTTGCTAATCGGTTGCTTCGATTGTATGTTGGCACTGAATGTCCCAGCCCTCAATTAATTATGTTAGTAGGTTTCATCCAAAAAGTGTATGCACCAGTTTGGTTTTATATAAAACTGTATCCTAGCTGTTCTGATGGTTCGAAACATTTATGGCGAATGATCCATTATTCACGATTTCTACCAGTTGACCAAAGAAAAATTGTCGATGCAGTTATCCAAAGGAATGCTTATTTTGCCTATCCCGAAAATTTATTACTCGGAATGATAAAAGATAAACGAAAACATATACGGGAGCTAGGACTACGCAGAGTGCTGAAAGCTAGGCAAAGTCAGAAAGAAAAAAAGATCCGGAGATTTAAAATACCAACATTAAATTTTAGTGCTGAAGATTATATTGACTTAATTTCTATTTCTGAATGCAGTGTTACGGCTCCGCCTTTGCTAAAACATATTTCCAATGAAAATGTAAGGGATATGATTGATTCCGGGAATCACAACAAAATAGAGGTCCTAAACTTCCCTGTCATACCCAATCTGTCGAAAGAACTGTTAAGTTAGTAACTGAAGCATCAGCTGCTGTTTATGGACCAGAATCAAGGGATGGCTTTATTCGTTCAAGGTTGCAGTCTAGAAATATTATGCCGTTTTTTAACACAAAATCAGACTACCAATCATAAAATGTATATTGTATCATAAAACAATTATTTTGATTAAAAAAACTAATAAAAAAATAAATTTTTTAAATTTTATTTTTTTTTGTTATTTCCAAAAATTTAAATTCAATATGGAACCTGAAGATAGGGTCAAATCCAAAAAATATTTTTTACAGTTTTATTATACATCAAAACGCAACTTTTCCGCACTAGCCCAAAAAAAATAATGACTTCGACTTTTTCGTTCCACCCTAGTGTATATTGTATATGGACGTGTTATTATACTGCTGTGTAATGCTCGAAATTGTTTTTTTTTTTGAGCTTGCAATTTATACATTGAAGTAAATTGTTACTTTTAGTAAACAAATATGTATTTATAAATTGTTAATAAATAATTTAAATTGTTAAAACAAAGGCGAATGAAACAAAAATTTTCTTTTCATAAATAATCTTTATTTTGATTCAATCTTCAATAATTTTTTTAAGTCTTTTTCTTTTTTTGGAAGGACAAGAATCTTCGGGTTTTATTTCTTCCTCAAAACCATCATTTTTCATTTCAATATCTTCATCCTTGATCTGTAAATTTAATGTTTCTTCTCCTTCATCTGTAGCTATATCTTGTGCCTCCAAAAAATCTAAGGAATCCATCGACTCCATATCCATATCTCGTTCAACTTCTTCCAATATTTTATTGTGATCAATATTTTTACATGTTTGACCACTGCAGTGAAGACAATAGTCAGAACATTTGAAACCATGTTTGATACAACTGCATGTTTTTGTACAAAGTTTTTTACATTTGCAACTAATATTTCTGAATAATGAGTCAGGTAGTAATATTTGCTCAGTTTGTATTGGCTCAAGACCATTTTGAGTTAGTTCCCACCCCCACTCAGTAGCATTCAGGTTATTTCCAAGCCACTGCTGTACTTGGAAATATACACGAAGCGAGTGTTGCTCAGCTGCAGATTGTGTAGGTGGCAGCATGGACAATTGACATTTTGTTAAACTGTCTTGTTTAATTACTCGAGTTTTACATATCGACAATAATTCGTCACAAAGGAGGCAGATTTTTTCACTCATCTTTTCAAATCAATGAATCTAAAAAAGTAAAATAGTTTAGCCTCTCAGATTCCAAGTATTATCTAAATTTTAAATTATATGAATTTAGAATAATTTTGTGAAAAAATTATTAGTAATATGTCAATCATTTTATATAAAATATTTAAAAATATAAAATATATTATACCTTTCAGAACTTCTCTTAAAATGGAGTCGATGTGCTCGTACAATCCTAACAAAGCAACGCGAAATATATAAACTTTTTATTAGTTTTTGAAATACAAAATATTTTACTGTTAAAACTCACGGATTTGACAATATAACTACTATATAATAGCGTTGAACATAATATGATCAAACCACTGAAAAACGTGTTCAGCACGCCTTTAATACAAGCCCTTACAGATTTTGGAGCACTTTACTATTTGTTTTTATTTCAAAACCCGAAATTAAACAAACTGATGGTCCCCTACTTGATACTCGCCGATTCACATTTGAAGCGAATGTCCCTCATCACCACCTCTCATGTATTCCGAGCGACATATTACGAGAAAACGGTTTTTTATTTGTCTTTTTTATGGATATTGCCATAAAGCGCATTACGTAAAACTTTTGATATAAAAAGTATTTGACAAGACGAGGGTATTTGTTTAAAAACGAGCCCTCTATCACTTATGGTTACACGGCAAATGTATGCCAACTTTGACCTTCAATATCTCGGCAACCAGTAAGCCGAATGTATCTTTTTGTTTTTTAAAAGAAGCGTCTTTTAATGTTCTTTAAGTGTATATATTTTGAAATTGATATGGTTAAAGGTCGTAAAGTTATTTAATTTGTTTATAAGCCTAAAAAAATGTTTATAACTTTAAAAAAATTTATAGTCTTTCCTAGTAAACTGATTTGAATTTTACAAAAAGCGTTTGAAAGTGTGAGACTTTCTTTATATGTAAAAAAAATTGCAACTATCTGAGGGCCTTATTTACGGGCCTACTATGAATTTGAAAATTTGCGATTTTTTTCCAGTAGGCTGGATTGCAAAATTATTATGCAAAACCTATCCGACCGATCTTAACAAAATTTAGCACACGTTTTAAACATATTAAAAAGTTTTTCTAGGCGGAATATGGAACTTGTAAGTCAAGTTTAGAAAGTCGAAAACATTTAAAGGATTAACTTCATTTTTTTGTACTTTTTTTTCCAATTATTGCTTTTTTTTTTCAACAATAACCATTAAATTTTTAATTTCTCGCTAACAAAATATTGTGTAAAATTTAATGACGAAACTTTTAACCACTTATACTTTTTTCTCTAAGATCAATATTTTTCGAATTATAAATGAAAATAGGAGCAAAAAAATGAGAAATTTTCAATTGTTTTCGGATTTTGTTAAATAAAAAATTTAGCACAGGGTTTGCGACTGGCGCATATCGTGATTATCGATACTGGGCATATCATAGCTTCCCTCAAAAATTTCCATTATGGTCTGAATTTCTACAGCTGCCGCCTGGTCTATAATATCATATTCCACAGCAGTTAACAGCGGTAATCCTCTACAAGTACTTGCGTAATATTCTCATTTTCTTCGTTTTCTCGGCGGTCATCAAACAATTAATAATTTTCTGACCGTACTGAATGATTGTTGTGCCTCTATATATATATATATATATATATATATATATATATATATATATATAAATAAATATATATATATATATATATATATATATATTATATATATATATATATATAGTGAACTCTTAAATATTGGTGAAATCTGCAAGACTCTAATGAATATCAATTGTTTCGCCGAACGTTTTCACCAAAGAGAATTGATATGGTTTCTTCAGGGCTGAAAGAGTATAAATTATAATTAGCTTATTACCACATATTATCTATTAAAAAACAATGTTGATCTTACCGTAACTTAGAATTGTAGAGATAGAATGTTAAAAAACTTAGCTAGTAACAAAATAGCGGTTTTTTGTTACTATGTGAAAAAAGAGTTTTTTTTCCGTTGTAAATGTACGGTAGCTTTGAACTTAAAACGCAAAGGTGTACCCAAGGTTAATCGAGAAACCTAATGTAACTACATATAAAAGGAAGTAATTCTTTGAATTGTCGGCAATAACTGAATTTTTGATTGTTTGAAAGTTTAAATGTGAGGTTCTGTTTTATCAGAACGCATGTGCTAACAAGTCAAGTAGTTTTTTTTAATTGTTTTGATTTTTTTGAATAGGTTGAATAGGTTTAAATAGGTTCGAATTCTTCTATTTCATAGATATTTCAATGTTAGCGAATAGTCTCCTACGAAAAGAAGTTAAATTCTTTCTATTGACGTCTTATTTTAAACTTCTAGATAATTCTTTACTTTTCTATTGATAATTTTATGGAAATTTAGGCTTGCAGATCAGAATATAAACTTATATATAAATTAAACATCTTAAATTAGTAAATACCACTATTTTAATCCATAATTATTATTTCAAATGTCCCATATCACTCTTATTTCCAACAACCAAACTTACTTTAGTGTATCTTTGGTTGCCTATATAGGTGGCATAAACATATCTATTTATGATATCATAATTATTAAAATAACCAAATATATTGTAAAATAAAAACTTTTTAAACAAATTATTATGCTAATTTCTTAAGGATGCCCTCATATAAATATAACTTATAAGTTACTTCTTTAATCGCCATTTAAGTTCACTCTAGGTCTATAGACATTCTGATTACCTTCGTGTCTCCTATATTTAATATTATCTCAATATATATATGAAAATCACTAGGTTCTCGGGAAGAACCGCGTTGAGAATTTAATGCTCGACGTTTCGGCTCCCATTTTGGAGCCATTATCAAGAGGGATACGGTTCGGTTCGAGTTCGGGGTCTCAATCTGCCTACTCCCCTCACTCGAAACGCACCAGTATCGTGTTCTGTATTATAAATACGAGAACTGTCTCTCGGCACTGAGGTCTCAATCTGCCTACTCCTCAGTGTCGAGTGACAACCCGGTCTTACCCTGTGACGCTGCTTTTATACTCGCTGTATATATATATATATATATATATATATATATATATATATATATATATATATATATATATTACTATATTTCCGATATTTGTCCATGTCTCATCTGTATCTGCAGTGTCTATGTGTTCTTCTATTAGTGGTATTATTTTAATTTGTGTATTTACCTCAAGACTTTTGGTGTTGTCTTTCAAAGCGACAAGGGTTTACTTTGTTAGTCTCAGTGTGGTCTTTGATTGTTCTTTAATCTAATTAATAATTGAGCTGCCAGTGGATTGAGACGAGACCCGATGTCTCGTGCTGGGTAGATTTTAAACAATTTTATGGCATTTCGGAATTTAGCAATTTTTATTAAAATTTATTTGGTTTATTATGATTCTTTTGGTTTATTATGAGCTATTTTGAGAAGACTTTTAAGTATATAATCTCCTTGGGGGCAATTTGAATTATGAATTAGTAACTACTAATAATTTTTCTTTACAAAACTGTAGTAGCTGGTTCCTTCTTTTGTTTTTTTTTCTCCCAGTCCATGTTCTATAATGTTTTCGAAACACTCCTACTGCTGACTGTACATGACAATGAAACGCAACAATTTTATATCAACAGATGAACATATAACTACCTGGTAAACAGATCCCTTAGGAATTTATTATTGGGGAAGTTGGTCTTTATTTAACTAAACCAAATAAAAACTTTTACACTAAAAATGCTTTATTCAAATCTTTTCTAAACAATGTAACTATTATTTTTTTATAGTATGAAAAGTAGTCATGGACAGCAAACTCCAGCATATCTGTAAATACGAATAAGCCATTAGAAAATTATTTTATATTAGCTGTAGTATTGTTGCACAAAATACATATTTATTAATACCTTTAGCTTTTTATACTTTATTTGAAAATTTGGAAATGCATGGTAACACTTTAGTTCATAACCATACTAGGATGTCTTTTTTTCTAGCTACTGTTAAGTAACTAGAGAAGTCTATATTCAGGAAAGCAACAGACGAACATAAACAGCATAAACATACTGTCTGTAATATACCATTTTTCAAAGTAAAAACGTTCCACGTTACAATTTATATGAAGTGACGTCACTTAAATGTATAATTTCCAGAACGTCAACATTAGAGTTCAAATTTTCCTAAAACATGTAACAATAAAACACTGAAAACTTTGTTTTCAAACTTCCACAAAATTTATTTTAACTATTATCACTACAGCTGTTTCGGCTGATAGCCTTTCTCAAGTGATCTATTTTTGGCATGCGTTTACAATTTATAGACTCTAATGAAATAGGTTGAGGAGGGGAGAACTGTTTGTCTCAAGTTGGTCATTCAGAATTATATCTGTGTTTTTTAATTTATTGATTTCCATAGATTCTAACAAAGATAGCTTAAGGCCTTTATTTTGAACGTGAAGAATTTTAAATTTGTCATTGAAAGAATGATTATGATCTAGAAGGTGAAGTGCGTATGTCGAATCTGTTTTTCTATTCTTGAAAGCCCTTTTATGTTCTGCTATTCGTTTCTCAAAGTTTCTACCAGTTTGACCGATGTAAGTTTTTGGGCAGTCGCCACATTGAATTTTATACACACCACTATTTAAGTGTTTTTTATTTTGGCTCTTGTTATTTTTAATATATTTACCTAGGTTGTTATTTGTTCGGAAAGCTGGTGTTATTCCTTTCTTTTTTATATGTTTGGCAATTTTTGTTGTTATTTTGCCTGTATATGTAATCGAGCAGAAGGTACTAGGTTTTTTCTCTGGTGGTGGAAATACCATTTTCAGGGCTTTCTTGTGTAGTTTTTGATTTAACATTTTATTAATTGTTTGTTCGTTGTATCCGTTGTTTACTGCTATTTGCTTAATTATATTTAATTCTGTCTCAAAGTTGTCTTTTGACATCGGAATTTCTGTTAATCTATGTAACATACTATGATAAGCTGCCAGTTTATGTTGTGTTGGATGAGATGATGAATTGTGTATAGTCGTGTCAGTATGGGTAGGTTTGTGAAATATAGAGAAGTCATGTTTGTTTTGAAGTCTGCTAATTTTTAAATCTAAAAAATTTATGTATTGATTTTGTTCTGTTTCTATTGTAAATTCAATATGACTATGAAGTGAATTAATATACGATGAAAATTGGTCGAGTTGCCTGTTAGTTCCTGTGAAACATACCAGTACGTCGTCTACGTATCTCCACCAATATAAAAACTGTTTGAATACGGGATGTTTTGAAATTTTTGTCTCTAGATGATCCATAAAAATATCTGATAGCAATGGGCTTAGAGGATTACCCATTATAAGTCCTGCACTGTTATTTGTATATATTTTATTATTAAATTCAAAGTAGTCCTGGTTTATGCAAACTTCAAGAAGATGTAATATTTCAGATGTAATTACTGGATTTGTACTATTTTGGTCTAAAAGGTTTTTTACTAGAATAAAAGTTTCTGTAGGAGGGATACTAGGAAAAAGATTTTTTACGTCAAATGAAATTAATCTGGAGTTGTTAGGTAATTGAAAATGTTGTATTTTATTAACTAGTTCTATTGTATTTTTTATGGTGAATTTAGGTGAAAATTTAGTGTGTTCTAAAATAATCTCTAACAGTTTTTTGGAAAGTTTATATGACGGAGCTGTATAAAAAGAAACTACAGGTCTTATTGGGTGATCCGGTTTGTGTAGTTTAATGAAAGAGTATAATTTAGGAGGATGTGGGTTCATGATATTGAGGTATTTCTGTTCTATTGGATTTATTATTGCTCAAAAGCAGTTTGCATAAACCAGGACTACTTTGAGTTTAATAATAAAATATATACAAATAACAGTGCAGGACTTATAATGGGTAATCCTCTAAGCCCATTGCTATCAGATATTTTTATGGATCATCTAGAGACAAAAATTTCAAAACATCCCGTATTCAAACAGTTTTTATATTGGTGGAGATACGTAGACGACGTACTGGTATGTTTCACAGGAACTAACAGGCAACTCGACCAATTTTCATCGTATATTAATTCACTTCATAGTCATATTGAATTTACAATAGAAACAGAACAAAATCAATACATAAATTTTTTAGATTTAAAAATTAGCAGACTTCAAAACAAACATGACTTCTCTATATTTCACAAACCTACCCATACTGACACGACTATACACAATTCATCATCTCATCCAACACAACATAAACTGGCAGCTTATCATAGTATGTTACATAGATTAACAGAAATTCCGATGTCAAAAGACAACTTTGAGACAGAATTAAATATAATTAAGCAAATAGCAGTAAACAACGGATACAACGAACAAACAATTAATAAAATGTTAAATCAAAAACTACACAAGAAAGCCCTGAAAATGGTATTTCCACCACCAGAGAAAAAACCTAGTACCTTCTGCTCGATTACATATACAGGCAAAATAACAACAAAAATTGCCAAACATATAAAAAAGAAAGGAATAACACCAGCTTTCCGAACAAATAACAACCTAGGTAAATATATTAAAAATAACAAGAGCCAAAATAAAAAACACTTAAATAGTGGTGTGTATAAAATTCAATGTGGCGACTGCCCAAAAACTTACATCGGTCAAACTGGTAGAAACTTTGAGAAACGAATAGCAGAACATAAAAGGGCTTTCAAGAATAGAAAAACAGATTCGACATACGCACTTCACCTTCTAGATCATAATCATTCTTTCAATGACAAATTTAAAATTCTTTACGTTCAAAATAAAGGCCTTAAGCTATCTTTGTTAGAATCTATGGAAATCAATAAATTAAAAAACACAGATATAATTCTGAATGACCAACTTGAGACAAACAGTTCTCCCCTCCTCAACCTATTTCATTAGAGTCTATAAATTGTAAACGCATGCCAAAAATAGATCACTTGAGAAAGGCTATCAGCCGAAACAGCTGTAGTGATAATAGTTAAAATAAATTTTGTGGAAGTTTGAAAACAAAGTTTTCAGTGTTTTATTGTTACATAAAATGAATTTCCATCAAGTAACGGTCGAATCCATCAATTATTTCCTAAAACAGCTAATAATATGAAACCTATAGGCAGCTGCTCGATCTTTCATAGGCGTCATCATGGTATAATAATCAGAAAAATGTAATCATCATTAGGAATTTTAGAATTATATTGAATAAATAGCCAAAAACATTTGTTATTATTAATAATATAAATTTTATGAACTAACTCTTTAAGTCGAATATTCCACAAAACAATATTTTTAATTAAATAGATTAGACAATTGTACGCAACTGATATGGGAGTACTTCAAATTTTAATGACAGTTCAGTATGTGGTAACATTGTTTAAAGTGTTGTTGATTTCTTGCGCAATGCCCTTGTCTTGGATGTATAAAAAGCACACCAACAAACATTTTAGAAATCGAAGCAGCAGAGCCTCCTTTGTATCTTAAACGGCAGTTTTTGGGTGATGTTTTTATGTCAAAACTCCTAGTACAAAAAAGACCTGACAAAATACAAGAACTCAATTCCACGATAAATAGTTCCTTCTTGCGACGTTAAAATCATGTAAAAGTTATAAACAGTTATAAGCACTAATTCAATTTAGTAACGAGTTTTACAGAAATAACATCCTTCCCTCCTATAATTGTGCTTTTAATCTATTATATTACATATCCTTTAATATTATCTAAATATTGAATCACATGTAAATACATTTAATATAAGTGTGTTTAATAATTATTAAACTATTATATTAAATTATATAATATTTTTTTTTCTAATACAGCCCTGTGTCGCATTAGTATGTGGATCAGAGAGAACGATCTACAACTAGCGCCTCAGAAAACTGAGGTGTTAGTTCTCAAAGGGACCCGGGAAAGATCCTCTCTTCGCATTATAGTGGAAGGTGTGGAGGTTGCACCTGTTAAATCAATTAAATATCTGTGAGTCTGGTTGTCGGAAGGTCTAAGGTTCGGAGTACACATCCAAAAGACAGTAGAGAAAGCAAACCGAAATCTGGAAGCGTTAATACGTTTGATGCCAAACATAAGAGGTCCAGGAAGCACCAAAAGAAAAGTGCTAAATGGAGTTTTCCAGTCGGTAGTAACCTACGCTGCCCCTGTGTGGTGTAGTGTACGAAACACTGCGAAATACGCTAAGGTGATGGAGACTTCGCAAAGGCGAATGCTCCTCAGCGTGTGTAGTGCATATAAGACAGTCTCGAATGAGGCTCTATACGTCATTGGAGCGGTGATACCGATCGTTTTGTTGTGTAAAGAGCAAGCAAGGATGTATGCGAGGAAGATGGATGTAAGTATACATGAAAATGAATGAGAAAGAACGATAGTAGAGTGGCAGAGAGAATGGGCGAATGATATTGGAAAGGCAAGGTAAACGAAGGAGCTTATTCCTGATCTGAGACCGTGGTGCGAATGTAAGTTCAGGAAACTAGACTACTTCCTGACGCAGTTTCTGACCGGACATGGTAGTTTTGGCACCTTCACAAATAGAATCGGCAAATCTGCCACGACAGACTGTACTGTTTGTGCGGTACCGGATGCTCCCGCCCACATTTTTAACTGCCAGAGATAGGCAAATAAGATGGGAGATTTCGAGAGTCAAATGGGTTTCGGACTGGATGAAAGAAATATTGTAAACATAATGTTGAGAGGAGAAAAAGAATGAAGAGAAGTACACTGTCTGATTTCTGGGGTGATGAAGAAAAAGAAGCAGGAGGGCAGAGAAGGAACTTAAGCCAGAGATCTAAAAATTTATAGTTAATATTGTTTATTAGTTTATGGCCTA